ATCTCTTTGATTGTCTGCTCACTTTTTTTGCCTACTAGCTTTGTTGTTACCAAAGGTGAACTTTTCCTACATCCCGCGCCATGTGTTGTCAACCCTCTTTGGAAGCTACAATAGCCTAGAATCTCTTCAATTTCTTTGCTCAAGTCGTCCACTCTTTCTACTTGCTGCGCAAAAAAATATTTTCCTTCTCGGAATGCTTGGACCATACTCCAGTCTTTTATCCTTTTTGATTTCCTATACCATGTCTCCAACTCATCCAAGTCTGCTACTCGTCTGCTTAGTTCTTCCAGCTTTCTTTTCAGAGTTGGCATATATTCGCCAACAAGCCCAAAAACACCTGATCGACTATCCATTAATGCATCATCTGTCCTCGCATCTACCATCAAGGAAATACTTATAGCATTTTATACAAACGTAATATTCATAAAACAAATTGAATTTATGAAAAGAAGAAACCATCAATTATGTCTAAATGAAATTAGATAAACAATACGAGTGTAAATAAAGGATCAAAGTTTCAAGGAAGGCGGGGTATTTGGGGTTGAGCACTTGCCTTGTTGCTGGGCTTGGTCTCTTAATGGGTTAATGAGAGGGTATAGTTGAGGTACGTTGGGTTTAGATTCTACTTTGGATTTTGGGTCTGCTGGGTATAGTTGCTGTAGGTTTGGGTCGAGCCTTTAGGCTCTTGGGCTATCTATGGGATGGGTTGAATTGATATTTGAGCCTATATGGGATGGGTGGGTTGAATTGATATTTAGGCCCGTATGGAAAGTGGTTCTCCCCATATTTTATACTAATATACAAATATGAAAATTGAAGTAAGTATTTTAGCATAAATTACTTGTTAAAATGTATCATATTTTATGCAAATCTTAATGCTTTGAACAGAATAAACTACATTACTGTAATATAAGAGAAAATAATAAAATCTTTCATAGAAATACTTTATAGGAAGAGTTGCACAAAATGTTAGATTTTCAATAATTGCAAATTTGCAACATTAAAAATTATTAAACCAATCTTTTTTTGCCGGATGAAACTCATGGTATTGAAGGGGGTAAGTAATCCTAGTTGAAGCAAAATGAGTGGAGAGTGCAAGAAAATAGTACTTGCAAAGAGTTTAATCAATCCCTTTCAATTTAGACTCCTATGTGTCACTCTTAAAGGCAACCATCAAGAAAGAGCTTGTTATTATATAATTATATAGATGCTAACATTTATGTACCTATTCTTTCGAAAAAGTTCGAGAACTACAATACTAGAAAAATTTAAATCAGTCCCATAAGTTAAAAGTAGAAGTTAAAAATAAGAGTTCCCGTACCTAGACCCTAAGTTGACTTTTGAAATTAAAATTGGAAAAAAAGGAGATATACCTCATTTCCACATCTAATGAACAAAGACTAATGCCCCAACACTGTCCTATTAAAAAGAGCTATACTTGCTTTCAATATGATTTTTGATTGGGTGGGTGACCGATTTGAATGCCACTCACACGTGATGGGTAACTCATAGCACTAGGAAAAAGCTAAACCACCTATTATTGACAGCTTGGAGGCAATGCATGACAATCTTTCGTCCCATTATCGTACTTTCCTTAGCATCCCAACAATTCCAATCATACTTATTAAAAAATATGAAACAAGCAATATTCATATAACTTAAATTTATGATGATTGAAGGTGTTGTTAGCTAAAGTCTCATATAGGTGGCATTTGAGTGTGTAAACAATCAATTAAAGGATGATCTGGAGGTAAGAATGAATTAAAAGATCAAAAAATTTTGTTGTACGCTGTCAAAGAGAATATTTATCTGTGCAAGTGCAATATCGTGTGGATGCATATTTAACAAAATGTGGTATCTTTCTTAGATTGATGTGCTTGAGTGTCATTTGGATAGCATTGGAGTTGGACATGGCTCTTCCATCATTACAATACAAAATAAGAAGATTTTTCTAATGAACCTACAAACATAAACTTACGTTAGTTGTTCTCCAATCATATGACAAATATCTTGCAAATTATTTAACGAATCTTGCCTAAAATTACTGTCCACTTCCCTTTTTTTTTTTCTCCCTCGAGCAATAACCCCCATCTTCCCAATCTAAGTGGCTGCAAATCTCATTTTTAAACCACCTCATCTAGCTTTCCTTTTTCTCATTCGCACTTTTTTTTTGGGTCCGCCCTGCTCTAAGTCTCATTTCACTCTCAGACTTTTGCTTTGCCTTTTTACAAAACGTGACAGTCAAACCCTACACCTGAGACTAAACGTATCCACCCCATCCAATTCCCTTACCACTGGGCCGGGTGCCCAGTAACCTCATTCCCACTTCAAATTGATTATTTTGCATTTCACACATAAAGCTACCACATATCATTTTCATTAAGCAAACCCTCACATGCTTTTGATATGCGGATGATATGAGCCCTTCACTTAGGTGGGAATTCAATCCCAGCAAGAGTACGAAGCCCCAGTGACTGGAATTGGAGGGAACGTGGCTTGCCATTGCATTTATAACAGCAATGAGATTGATTATAGGAGCTGAATATATTACGGATGGCAATGAGCTTTTGAAGCAACTGAATACTATATGGATTCCAATGAGACTTCAGAATTCTTATAAAGTTGAGTACTGTATGGATTCTAAGATTTACCCATGTCCATAGTAAACTTATAGCAAAATAACTATAGGAGACAACTTTTAGATATACTTGCAATCACATATTTTCACTAAGATCTTTATAATTTTTTTTAACTCAAAGCATCATCATAAATTTGAAAATTAATCATAAAATTTTTCTAGAACCGATAGGTCTTGGATAACAATAATCTTTTTGAATCGGTAGAGTCTGCATTTCATTGAATTTTGAATTTTTTTTTCGAAAGAGTTGAATATTGGATGAATTGCAATCTGTTTTGAAAATTTTAAAAGATTAAAAAATAGCAATTAGAGAAGCAAATCAATAAAAACTTACAGAAAAATAGTTATTGTTGATAAAAATAGAGGAATAAAAACGATGTATTTATGATTTTTAAAACCAGTAGAATCTGTATTTCAATGAATTTTGAATATTTTTTTCAAAAGAGTTGGATATTGGATGAATTGAAATCTCTTTTGAAAATTTTAAAAGATTAAAAAATCGCAATTAGAGTAGCAAATCAATGAAAACTTACAGAAAAATAGTTATTGCTGATAAAATAGAGGAATAAAAACGACGTGCTTATGATGTTTTTCTCCCCTTAGGGTATCATCTACTCCAAATAAAACAAAAAAAATGTATTATGGATTTTTTTATGAGAATATTTCATGAACCTGGACGATAATATGTATCTTATTTTGATTTTTTAAAATAACTAATATTTGCCAACGAAAGAAAAAAATTAAGAGTGGTCACTAAAAGTTGATCCAGGAAAATAATAAATTTTAAAAGACTTATATACTATGATAGCACATATGTCATGAATAAATTAGCAAATCGGTTAAGAAATTTGTCCTTTATGATTTAATTTTCTAATCACAGCATCATCCACCCATTTTGCATTTGATAAGGTAATTCTTCGAATATTTGAGTTGGATGTAGTATTTCCTATATGTCAAGAGAAAAAAAAGCGGGTCACGTGATATCTATCTTCCTACATTACATTATATTCTAGGGGTTTCTCATATAATGAAAGAAGAAAAAAAAGATTTCCAGGAAAGGATGTCATTTTTTTCATGAAATATAAAAAAAAGAATGTCACGTCTTACATATAATGGAAGAACAAAAACAAAAGAGATCTTCAGAGAAACATGTCATTCATATGATGAAAAAAAAAGAGAGTATTGACTATTGAGAATTCAAATAGTTGAAGCTGAAGTAGCCACTTTCGAAAGGACACAAAGAAAAGCAATGACTAGTCAAAGTAAAAAAGATGACTACTCACTTCTTTCTCTCCTTCAGGTAACAATAGATTATATAGATATTATAGATCAATATTAGCAGAGATGCCATTTATGTAGATCATAATAATTTTCAAAGAAAGCTATAACTTGACCACAAACAAAAGTCATATGTTTATGATAAATTCTTTTCTGTCAGAACATAACTTGTCATCGGGTCAGTGAAGTGGTCAATTCAAATTTTAGGCTCATCTAATACTTTTAAGTTTGAAATTATAGTATTAAGATATGATCAAATTTATGATCAAAGATAATTCCTATCTCTGCGCAGTTGATAGACATCAAAGGTTCACATGAAACACTTTTTATACAACACTATATTTTCAATCACTAACACCATTTAGCAAAAAAGGCCCCTAATTTGAACTCTTCATTCGTAATTTTATTCCCAATTAAGATTTCGTGTTGTTAATTTTCATGTGATTTGTTGCTTGGCCAAGAACTATGAGATAAATCGGTCCACTGTTGGACTCGACGAGGAGCAAACGAGGAAATTTCAACGACTTTTATAAAGTAGTCAAGTCAATACCAATCCCCTCAACACATTGAAAATATCCTGAAAACCAGAAAGGGCTTAACCAAATACAAGCTCGCCCTTCTATGCATCCTCCTTTTTAAATTTGAAAGTACTTTTGGTAATTCATTAGGTAAATTGGATGAAATATGAACTGATGTTCACAATTTTGGTGCATCAGGTTGAAATTAGACCGATGCTTATGTGTACTGATATGTGTGTCCATCTCCCAAGTCACTAATCAGGTGAACTTATTTACAGGCAGCAATTTGTGCGACAAGTTATTTCACATGACTCTTATCATTTGTTTAAAAGCGAATGTTCTTTCAAGATTTAACTGTCACCCTTCAAAGCATTTGTCTGCTCCTTTTCAAAACCGACTCCTATCAAGCTCCTCTCTTCCAATTAATTCCGGTCCATTTTGGGTTTTCTATTACTAATAGAAATCTAAGCGTCCTGCCTATATCCCTATTCTTAGCTAAGGATTAGAAGACGAATTAAGCGTCTTGCATGAGCTTTAACATATGGTGAATTTGGAGATGCACATACCTTGTGGAACCTCTGTATTGGTTTCTCCCTCTTCTGCATTCACTGGGGCTGGCATGTTAGTCAAAGGTTCAGGTGCGAGATCTGGACGGCTGATGGGACAACTAAAATTTCGCGGCTGAGTGTAAGAATCACCAGCATGAGATTGAGGTTGTTGTGGCAAGAGTGGAAATTCCCCCCATGGGATCATGCCTTGAGCCGGAAGAGACTGGCTGGGCAAATTCGTCTCAGGCAATGGAAGAAAGGCTGATGAACTTGCACCTACAGTGCTCATGACATCAGAGCTAAGGTACGGCATGGCAGCGTATGAAGGCTCTCTCCAAGCATCTTCATTGTTCGCAGTCACGGGCAGATGCGGACCCTCTTCTACATTGCCTTCTGCTCCACTGCTCGGCTCTGCCGCTCCTTTACACTTCAACGCATTTCTGGCTTCCGATCTCACTCGGCCGTCGACGTCCTTGCAGTCATTGATCCCATATCCTGCAACTCCGGCTAAGTGGGCCTTGATCCTGGTCACACTTCCGCCATACTCCTTGCTGCAGAAGTTACACTTCCACTTGTTGTTAGGCAGGAACTTCACATGATCCCGAAAGGAGTCCTTCTCTCTGGGCATTTTCTCTGTATCCCTCAAAAGAATGTGCAGATATGTTTCAAGGAAGACCTTGGATCTTTTTGTGGTGAAGAATGGTGCGGGAGCCTGTAAGATATTTAATGAATTTTAGACTTGGGAATAGGGTCAAAGTCTTCGTCAATCCCCAATTCTTTTAGAAAGAAGGCCCTGCTTCAGTGACCCCACCCTCATTTCTAGCCAACTTCTCTTTTCACTCTCGGATACGAAGAAAACATGTTTCGTTCAACGATGCACACGGTAAAACCAGCCAGTTTACACGCATCGAGTATGGCTTTGACCGGGGGCTTTGAAAGGTAGTTAGAGTTGGGATTCGCGACGTGGCTCAGACATGGACCTAAAACATCTCTGACGAAGCGGTTGACCGACCACTCAGAAAATTATAGAAGTTATTTATGGTAAAGCGAGAAAAGTCTTCGCTCTTTGCTCACCGGAAACATTAAGGGAAAAGGACAGATAGCAAAGACTTTAAAAGTGGCCCTCTAAGTCAAAGTCTGCCTTAACTCCGTGCCCAGTCCTCTAGAAAGATTCTTTCTATCTAAAGATAAATTAACGTTTTTAATTTCAATACATAATTTTAATGATCGAAATATGTTTACACACAATAGATTTAGGATTGAAATTAACATCTTTAATTTCAACAGATAAAGAGCAAAGACTTTAAAATTGATCGTCTAAGTCAAAGTCTGCGTCAACTCTGTGCCCAGCGCTCTAGAAAGATTCTTTCTATCTAAAGATAAATTAATGTCTTTAATTTCAACACATAATTTCAATGATCAAAATGTTTTTGCACACTATGGATTTTGGATTCAAATTATGACCATTTTTCTCCCTTCTTCCTCAGTTTTACGAAACGAGCTAGTTTCATAGGATTCTACTTGTTTGCCCTGTGGGTTCTTTTTGTACCCTCTTATCTCACATCAATGACAAGGCCACTAGACATCGGCCCGTGGTTGAGCGGCAACGATCCTCTATTTTACTCTCTAATGGACAATTAATTGGTAGCAAAAAAATAAAATAATAATAGTAATTTACTTGTGAGAGAAGGTTCATTCGCCACCATACTTAATCTAACTAGGAGGTATTAAAGCCTGTGAATCACGGGTGACGGCTAAATTCGGGCACAATTGCGGTAATTTTTCATATCGAGACAGATATTTTAATTTTCAGGATGATAAAATATTAAAATGGATAATTTATCGTGGCAAAATGCTTTTGAAATGACCTAAAAAAAGTCGCCTGTTTCACAATGCATACCTATTAGAACAAACAAGCTGTAAATTAGTCATGTCCACAGATTGAGGAAATGGTTTTGAGATGTATCAGAGTAGCTTGCACGGCCATGGGCGGAGGAAATGTACCCGTCTCTAGCCAGTAGCTATTCTCTTATTCATGAATTGATCTCAAGAGAAGGATTTCTACAATCACTAAGGCTGGCGACTGGTGGAGGGAAATAAGGAAAAAAGAAAAAAAGAGAAAAGAAATGTAAAAAAAGGGAAAGAAAAAAAGAAAAAAAGGAAAAAAAATTCAGAAAATTTTAAAAAGAATTACCAAAATTGTCAACTTTAGTGTTGGCCTCACCACATAGGATAACCGGCACTACTTAAATCGTCACGTCAGCAATTTCAAGCCAAAATTAGTCGGGAGAACTAAATTGGCAAATCATAAAAAGATTAGGACTAAATTAGCAAATCATCAAAAGATTTAGGATTGAATTAACCAAAATTAAAAAATTTAGAACTAAATTGGCACAAATACAATATGTTTAACACTTTTTTTTTGGTTAATTTCCCCTGCAAGTTCCTTCACACTAGCAACCAAAACATCACAGCTACTCAAAGAAAATAGTATCCCATATTGATATTATCGGGGATAATCCCATACGATTGTTGGCGCAATCACTAGAAGTAGTATATATTGGAGGATTAGGAACATGATGATCTCGAAGAAACGAACTCAACCATACTCATCTTCTTCTATTATCTAAATTTTCTATTCTTTATGAGGTGATATTCGTTGTTCGTGGTTTATGGCTGAACGTATTTACTTTAAATCCGCTCCACTTGTTATTATATGAAAATATCATTTGAGACTTCATTTCGTTCATCGTTAGTGAAATATACATTTTTCTCCCTTAATTTGAAGGAAATTTGGGGTCCGAAGGGGGGCGGGGACCACCACTAGCCCCTAGGGGCCCTGCACCTCCCTAGGTCTGTCAATGCCCCTAGATATTTTTGCCGACCATATTTATTAAGCAAGTTGAAACCGATGTGTTTGGAAAAGTAGATACAATAATAAGAGGGTGAATTCTCAAAAAAATCACCAACTTTACGTCAAGTCTCAAATTTATTTTGAACTTCTCAAATTTTATTTTGCATAAAAAAATCATCAAAATTTAATTTATTTTTAAAAATATATCACAGTGATCCAATCCTAACTTGATGTGGTACTTTCACGTCGATAACAAATTCACATTAGCAAAGTAATAGAGCGATAGGTACAGACTAACATTGCATTTTTACTTTGATAACAAATCCATCCTAATAAAAATTGTTAAAATTCTCTAAAATAAAACCGTTCTAGGATAAAGATTCACAAGGGTACAAGTCAAAGTTGGCGGCGGCAACTTTATGCACAGCCCTGTCTAAAGATAAATTAACATCTTTAATTTACTTTTCTTTATAGAAAAAAGGACATTGCAAAACACAATTTATTTCAATGATTAAAATATGTTTGCACAATGAATTTAGGATCAAATGGACCATTTTCCTCCCTTCCTCCTCAGTTTTATGAAACTAGGTATCTGCTTGGGGGGTTACTTTCGTCCCTCCACAAACCACAAGTATTTATTTATAGTCAATGATCGAGTTGGCAAGCACTTAGCCAGTGGTCAGTGCATGACACGCAGTTTTCTCTAAAATCTACTTGGAAACTAAGAACAACATTTCATGAATATGAATAATAAAACTATATAAGCAAGACTAGGATAGAAGCTTCACAAAGGAAATGTCCAATTTTGGAGTCGAAGCGAGAAGTTACATAGGAAAAACACTAACAAAATAAAACCTCTGATTTTTAACGTGACACCTATCCAACTTTAGAGCTCAACTAAAAGGAGACATCTTTTGAAAGTTATATCAATTGTATATTTTCGTAGGATATTACATGTATATTGGCTGACAAGACTGAATGTTTTGTAATTATGCCTATTCCAAATTTCTGATTATCATTCAAGCCGACGGGATCAAGCCTAGTTAAATGGGGTCAACCCGATCCTACCAGTGAATTGCAAGAGTAGTGTTTAGAAATACTAAGATTTGGCTAGTAAATTAATTTACTTAGTGATGTAAAAATCCATAAGTAATTATTTTCGTCGGCAAAATCTTTTGACCACTCAATAGAAAATCTATCACTCTACTTAGCAAACAAATTCTGTCGACTAGTGTTAGTATGCCTAGATTATCAGAATTCTTTCGATCATATTTCTAACTATTCAAAAAATTTCAATTAGGATTCAAGCACAAGGGTAAAAAAAAAAGATTCTTCATATGCGGTTGACCCGAAGCAACCCGGAAATTCCAAATTGGATTGACCCAAATTTGTTTACGTGTTTGGGTAAAATGTCCACCCATACCTTATTTTTCCACGGCGGATTTTAAGATATGCCTTTTGGCAAAAATGTGAATCCCGGAACTGATAACCCACCTGTCGTCTCATCCTTCCTCGCTATATTAAGCAAAAGCACATCTATAAATCTTATGATTTCTTATGCATGTCTTTAGAAAGTTGGGTAATATTCTACAAAAATGTGTGGGATTTTGATTGTTTTTCTTTATAGAAGGCAATTCCTCGCTGTCACTGCATGCTCTCTCTCTCTGTATCGGAAGCCCACAATCGTGCACTGCGAATGGCGAATTTCTCTCGACTTTTTTTCACAAAGAGAGAGAGAGAGAGAGAAAGTTAGGGCGTAGGAGAAGGAATCGGCATCATTTCCTTTTCATTTCCACCCTTTTTTTTTGTTAATGGGAATTCGCGAACTTGTGTGGGATTCGACTGATGCTTTTGTGTGATTTCGGTGATCATTTGCCCTCGCGTCGATGGAAGCAAAGCACTTGGAGCCGCCACGTCAGCAAGACGGCATCATTTTCGCGTCACTCGCCGGGAGAATCTTGCCACGTCGGATCGAGTGCGCGTTGATGGAACTGCCCACTCGCGACTTTGTATACTTCCTTATTCAAGTGGGGTCACTAATAGCCGATACGATACGATTTTCATCATTTAGTCTTTTTTAATTTCAAAATTTTTTATTTTAATGTAAAGCAACTCTTAAAGCGGCTTCCAATTTCCCATCAACATGAAAAAAAAGTTGTTTGTCAAAAATTTAAGATGACTTTTAGGCTGCGCATGACAACCATTCTGTGCCCGGGAACAGATTCTGATCAGAAATGATTCTTTTTGATTCTGTGCCCGAAATTGATTCTGAGCATTTTAAGGCGTTTGTTAACGGCCCAAAATTCCATCCCTGGAATAGAAAAAGAACAGAAATGCGTTTGGTAACGCCACAAAATTTCTTTTTATTAATAATATTTTTAAATATTTTAATATTTCTTTCTTTTTTTTCTTTTCTTTTTTTCTTTTCCTCCTTCTTGGCCATAGCATGCTCGCCGGCCATGACTGGAAAAATATTTTTTTATTAATAATATTTTTATTAAAAGTATTTTTTCTTTTTTTTTGCCATGGCCTGGTCGCCGGCCATGACCGGTAAAATATTTTTTTTATTAATAATATTTTTTATTAAATTTTTTTATTAAAAATATACATTTTTATTTTTTTTAGCTATGGCCTGGTCGCTGGCCATGGCTGATAAAATATTTTTTTTATTAATAATATTTTTTATTAAAATATATATTTTTTCTTTTTTTGCCATGGCCTGGTCACCTACCATGGCAGGTAAAATAATTTTTTTATTAATAATATTTTTTATTAAAATATTTTTATTAAAAATATATATTTTTCTTTTTTATGGCCATGGCCTGGTCGCTGGCCATGGCCGGTAAAATATTTTTTATTAATAATATTTTATATTAAAATATTTTATTCTCGTCAGATCCGGCGAGGGCGGTCCTCGGGCCGGACATTAGAAGCTAAATTAAAAACCAAGAAAAGGAAGAAGAAAAAAAAATTGATTCTCAAAATTGTTCCCGAATCAAGAAGTTACTTTTTTTGATTCTCGATTCTATCCAAATCGATTCGGAACAATTTTTGACAAAATTGTGCCCAGAATCAAAAAATTAAACAAACGCATTTCTGTTCCCAAACTGATTCTAGGAACAAAAGAACAGAATCAAACACTGTTTGGCAAGTTGTCATGCGCAGCCTTAGAACGATGCTTTTTATACAATTCTTAAAGCTTAAGCAAATTTGAATTCTAGAAGCTTAAATAATCGAAAGGAAAAGTCAAAAGTCGAGCAAGTAGCACAATCCTCCTTCCTCTTTGCGAGTGGCGCGCGCTCTCTCTCTCTCTCTCTCTCTCTAGCTTGCTTTACTTTCTGTTCCCCTGTTTTCTTCAGCCTGACTGAGCTTATTAAACAATCAAATCTTGAGCAACAAGAGAGTGTGAAAGCTCAGGCATAGTTAATGCCTTAACTACCAATTAAACTTGCCACATAATATAAACAAGAAGTTATCATTCATGACCAGATCATTCCCCTATTGAAAAGAGTATTCACCATCTTTGGTAGGTGATGAATAATGCAAACCAATACTTGGAAGTAACTTCTGATTTGTATGACACCCCATAATTTGCATATTTATATATGGGTTTACTTGCTTTTTTGCTAGGCAATCCACATGAAACTTGCTAGATAAGAAAAAAGCCAATGACTTGCTCAGAGTCCCAGATTTACTCACTTACAGTACTCAAATTTTCATATTTTTCTGAGCTTACACAGTCCTGATATTAAGCAGCGTCCATAGCCTTAGAAACAAGCTTAGAAGCACCAGATTTACCCACCGCCGGTCGCTGTTGGCCGCCCGTCGCCGGTCGCTACCGGCCGCCCGCCGCCGGCGAAAAATATTTTCCGAAACTTTTTCATATTGGTCGCCGAACACCGAAAAATTATGTTCCGGGAAAACATTTTCCAGGAAAATGACTTCCGGGAAAATATTTTCCAAAAGGAGAATATTTTCCGCCAAACGAACGGAAAGAGGAAATCATTTTCCCCCAAAGTGAAGGCAAAATTACCCATGGGAGGGAAAATGTTTTCCGTGGGAGAGGAAGTTGATCGCCGGTCACTGCCGTCGGCCGCTGGTCGCTGCAGTCGGTCGTCGGTCGCCGCCGCCGCCGATCGACGGCCGCCGGTTGCCGTCACCAATCGCCGCCACCGGCCGTCGGTCGCCGGTCACCGTCGATCGTTGGCCGCCACCGGTCGCCGGTCACCGTCGATCGTCGGCCGCCACCGGCCGGCCCGCCGTTAGTCGTCGATCGCCGCCGCCGCCGCCGCTGCCGCTGCTGACCGCTGCCGGCCGCCCGCGATCGCCGCCGCGCCGGTCGCCGCCGCCGGTCGCCGCCGCCGTTCGTCGGTCGCCGGTCACCGGTTGGTCGGCGGCTGCCGACGGTCGCCGGCCGTTGGTCGCCGTTCACCACCGCGCCCGCCGCCGTTCCCGGCCACCGCCGGTCGCCGCCGTCGGTCGTCGGTCACCGGTCATCGTCGGTCGTCGGCCGCCGCCGGTCGTTGGTTGCCGGTCACCGTCGGTCGCCGGCCGTCGGTTGTCGATCACCGCCCGATCGCCGCCTTTGCCGCCCGTCGCCGCCCGCCGCCGCCGACCGTCGCCGCCGCCGGTCGCCGGACGCCGCCGGATCGGCAGTCGCCGAACACTAGAAATTATTTTCTGAAACTTTTTCAGATTTTAGCCGAACACCAGAAAATTATGTTCCAGGAAAACATTTTTCAGGAAAATGACTTTCGGGAAAATATTTTCCAAAAGGAGAATATTTTCCGCCAAACAAACGGAGCCTGAATTCTGCAGTTTGTAACTTCGGTTTATCAGTACCACTTTCATAATCCTAGAGATGTGGTAGGAAACTAACAACGTTTTAACCGGTCATGTTGACCCGGATAAATGGTCATCCTAAAATGTTCTATTGAATCCGATCTGAACTCAGTCCATACTGGCCCAGTAACCAGGAATTCAAGCTCCACCCTGATTAACGGAGCAGCATAGAAGCACCAACAATTTGAGAACATCGGCATAACTCGTCCGACGCTAATTTCCTAAAAAATCTTCCATCCGAGGTCAACAATTGCGTGCAATAGCTCCGCGCGGTCCGCTTTCGAAATGCTTCCTGTAGCTGCGACCAATCTGCCCGATATCGTCTTCCACTTGACTTCCATAATGGATTTCTTAATCAGTGACCAAGAACAGGAAAACAAGGATAAGATAATGTAGTTTAATGAAACTTTGACTGAGTGCTCTTTTTGCACATCTTCTTTTTTGGTGACGTGATGAAGTTTCTCGCTGCATGTGAACAGACTTTTCTTTGTCAACACGGTGGGAATTCGGTCAAGGACCGGAACTTCGCTGATGGAGCTTCAAACTAGAATAATCACCCCTTAGAAAGACGGAAAGAAGGAACCCGATTAGTCTCAAAGTTCACAATTTTATATTTAAGCTCGTTGATGAGTGCGTTTTGATCACTAATATATGGTTCGATAACATTGGAAATTAATATGTAGTCATTTGACATGTCCAAAAGCATTTAAACAAGACCTCAAAAGGAACTGGTTTTAATGTTGTCCGGATGGCAAGATGGTTGGAACAGACTGCATTCCATCTCCAGGCTTCAGTTGGGAAGACTCTGATGCAAAAGGCAGTTTGGGTTCTCTGTCCACCCCAGAAAAGTGCGCAATGAAGACAGAAGTCACGGTGTTGATTGATGCTATGGACTATGAAGCAATCCATGTGGTCGCCTTTACAATAGATAAGATCATGGGAAATCCGTGAGTTGCTAGTCAAAGTAATGTGCTTTAGTTAACGTATCATTGTCAGATGTAATCTTACCAATCATCCTCCTTCTCATTTCCGCTACTGTTAGTCAAATGCTGATGTTTGATGCTGAAAACGCAGAATTTTGTCCAATCAAAAAACCATTCACCAAGTCTACACTTCTCATATTTTTCGTCTATAATTACATTAATTACCGCAAATAGCAGTCCCTTTATCCCTCCAAAAACACACCTTGAACCTTGAACACCCGAAAGATGGATGTCCGGTGTGTTTTGCTTGCCACAGGAAGCTTGGTTTTGTGCTTCTCAGGCTTCGCGGCCGCAGTTGACACTGTCGATGCATCTCAACCGTTAAGTGATGGTGAGACAATAGCTTCAAGTGGGGGAACTTTTGAGCTGGGGTTTTTCAGTCCAGGCAGTTCGAGGGGCCGTTACTTGGGAATTTGGTACAAGAACATCCCACTTAGAACTGTTGTTTGGGTTGCAAATAGAAGCAATCCAATTAACGGCTCTAGCGGCACGCTGATGATCAATAGCACAGGCAATATAGTCCTCCTAAGCCACAACAGCAGTGTTGTTTGGTCTGCAAACACTACCGAACAGGCTGAGAATCCAGTTCTACAGCTCTTAGATAATGGAAATCTTGTGCTGAGAGATGGCAAGAATGACAGTTTGGATACTCATTTGTGGCAAAGCTTCGATTACCCTACCGACACTTTTTTGCCAGAAATGAAGCTTGGATGGGACTTGAAGACCGGTCTCAATCGGCAATTATCTTCCTGGAAGAGTCCAGATGACCCATCACCAGGAGATTTCACTTGGGGGATGGCCAACCGTGATTTCCCTGACATCGTAGCATGGAAGGGCTCCGACAAGTACTTCAGGACCGGACCGTGGAATGGCCTTCGTTTTAGCGGCGCGCCGCAACAAGGGTCCAATTCCATTTTCTGGTATAATTTCGTATCCAATGCAGAAGAAATTTACTATATGTATCATAACACCAACAAATCTGTGCTCGTAAGGACTGTCCTGAATCAAACAAATTACTTGTGGGAGCGGTCCGCGTGGAGCGAAGCGACTCAAAGCTGGAGGCTCTTCCTCACTGTTCCAAAGGACTACTGCGACACCTATGGCATTTGCGGTGCCTACAGCAAATGCATAACTAACCAGCTGCCATATTGCCAATGCTTAAAAGGTTTCACACCCGAAAATCAGGATCAATGGAACTCCACTGACTGGTCACAAGGATGTGTTCGGAATGAGCCTCTGAACTGCAGCATCAGTGATGGATTCGTAAAGTATCCTAACATGAAATTGCCGGACACTACTCATTGTTTAGTGGATAGTACCTTGAGCCTCGACAATTGCCGGACCAAATGCTTGGACAACTGTTCATGTACAGCATATGCAAACTCAGATATCAGAGGACGAGGAAGCGGATGTGCAATGTGGTTCGGTGATCTGATAGATATGAGACAGTATCCAGATGCTGGGCAGGTTCTATATTTGCGGATGCCAGCTTCTGAAATAGGTACTATCTTGTTTTGGCATCTCTTAGAAAAGTAGATCTTGTACTAGATTTCCGTTTCATCTATCATTCTTTTTCCTTTCAAATGTGAGCACACACCTTTCAATAATTACCCATCATATTTGACATTTATATGATTTTTATGCGAACTTTTCAATTGAGCAGGGAAGAGTAATTCCAAGGTGTGGATAGTTCTGGTAGTAGTATCAGCAATTGCCATAGCTATTGCCATGCTAGTCGCCATCTGTTATGCCCACAGAAGAAGGAAAAACTTCAGAGGTACATATTTCTTCTCATGACTCTCCTCACAATACTTAGTTTTCATGCCAAAGAGAAAATTTGTGGTCAAGGAAAAGAGAAAAGAACATCGAAAATTATTACTCTAAATTTGATAACTAAAAATTTGGCATAGTCAGAGAGTTGCATTATACCGCAGAAAATAGTTTATTCACTCGTTTGATCAGAAGTGAGACTTACAGTGCTTCCCTGCCTTCTTTTTACTTGAGCTAAGTACCTCCGATTTTCCATTTTAGAGTTAGCAGAAAATATATCTGAAGGTCAAGAGAGTGAACACCCTGATGATGACTTGGACCTCCCATTATTCGACCTACACGCAATTGCTGAGTCCACAAACAATTTTTCGATGAGGAACAAGCTAGGTGAAGGCGGTTTTGGACCTGTATACAAGGTAAAACAAAATTTGGAGTGTACTATCCGAAACATAGCACAATTCCTGCTATTAGAATTGACTCTTCCCATAGTTATTTTTTTCCAGGGTATACTTGTAGATGGACGAGAAATCGCTGTGAAGAGACTTTCAAGTAGCTCTAGGCAAGGACTGAGGGAGTTCAAGAATGAGGTCATACTAATTGCGAAACTTCAGCACCGAAATCTAGTAAAGCTTCTTGGTTGTTGCATTCAGGGAGACGAAAAAATGCTGATCTACGAATACATGCCCAACAAAAGCTTGGATGCCTTTATTTTTGGTAAACTAGTTGATTCATTTCGGATTTAGATACAAAATGTAGCTATTGCCTGGAAAAGAAAAGTTCACGAGACATGGGACTGACTTGACTCAAACTCGACAGATAAAGAGAGAAGTAAGTTATTGGATTGGCACAAGCGGTTCAATATTATCTGCGGTGTTGCTAGGGGCCTACTTTACCTTCATCAAGATTCGAGGTTGAGGATAATCCACCGGGATCTCAAAGCGAGTAATGTCCTTCTTGACAACGAGATGAATCCAAAAATTTCAGATTTTGGCATGGCTAGGATCTTTGGAGGAGACGAGACAGAAGGAAATACCAACAGAGTGGTTGGGACATAGTAAGTATCTAGCAGTATTCTATGCAGAGAGTGAAGAGGGTGGTGCTGATTCCCTTTTAATGCATGTTCTGATATTTTCTTCTGTTTCTCAGTGGCTATATGGCACCCGAATATGCCATCGATGGGCTATTTTCAGTTAAATCGGATGTGTTCAGCTTTGGCATTTTGGTCCTCGAAACTCTAAGTGGAAAAAGGAACAGGGGATTATATCATTCGAACCACAGTCTGGTCGGCCATGTGAGTAATTTATGTTGCATAATTTTTTAAATCTTAAGTAGCTTTATGGTCCAATGAAGTTCATGAAATTTTTCATTTGTAGGCGTGGGAGTTGTACCAAGCAGGCAAATCTTCCGAACTGATCGATTCGTGCTTGGTGGAAACATCCGATTTATCTCAAGTGTTACGATGTGTTCATATCGGTCTCCTCTGTCTGCAAGAACATCCCGAGGATAGGCCTAGCATGTCGTCTGTTGTGACAATGTTGAGTAGTGACAACTCGCTGGCTGTGCCTCAACAACCAGGTTTCCTCGTGGAGAGGAACCCACACAGAGGAAATTCGTCGTCTGGCGTTGACTCTTCTGTAGTCAATGAAATCACTTTTACACTTCTAGAGGCCCGATGAGAAGAGGGGAACATGTCACAGTTTTGCATTTTTCTGACTTGTGTAGTTCATTAATGTGCATTATGACTTCTTCAGAATTCTTGTTATCATTTGAGCCTGTGCCACCGTAAATGGTTTGTATGTGTCACACTTGACAAACTGGTGATAGGACATAAACCTGATAGTTTACATTAGATCTATTAAAGAAAATGATCAGCTTTTAAGACTTTGATAATGATTCAACAGTTTCATCATGCAACTCAATTGTTCTCTAATACATAAATACCAGCAAAACTGCTTAATTGATTCTGATTTCAACCTCTGATCTGATCTGCCAACTGAGATCTATCTCAATGTTCCTAATTTCTCTCACTCGTTTTATTGACTGTGTTTCTTCGGTGGAAGTCAAATGATATAGTGAATTCTAGTTCCATAATTTGCATTGAGATTTCTCATCCTGAAAGAAATCATAAGCGGTCATGGAATCCACCCGAAGTACTCTTCTTTTGCCGGTGAGCCAGTTCTCTAAAACAAAAGACACTGTCACATACCATGAGTAGTTAGAAACCAACCCCAGTTATATGCAGACAACACCTGTACTAAAGTGACATCTTCTGCAGTGAATCTCAAAGGCTCACTAACAATGAAATGGCTAAGCAAAAAGTTTCCTAGTGACGGATTACATGTACAAAGTTGCTGGATCTTCAATCGAGCCTCAATAAGTGTAAAAGTAACTACATTAACTGATGATGATTTATGCTTGCTGGATGAGGGATTTTCTCTATGCTGATTTCTGTCTACCAGGAAACCTGGTCGCTAGAGATTCGCTTCCGAGAAAAGAAACATTCACTCCCTCCACCTTCGAATCAAGAGAACAAATCCTGTGGCCTTTCTGGTTCAGCATGAACTGCTTCCCCCTACTGCTGTCGAAAGAATTTCGGGGACGGTTCAGTGTAATGCTTAGAATTGCTATTATCCCAAAACTCAATCTGTCATCATTGGGTCAACATTATCTGGCAGAAAATGTATAGAAAATTGTTTGCTTTTCATTGAACCGGCAATGACAGATTGAATAGTGGGTTAGTTGCAATTCGAAACATTTCTTTGAAACTAAAAGAATATTGCTTGCTTTTCTTTGTTTAGAGAGCAAACCATTCTTCACTCTAGCTTTTATTCCTCCAAACAATTTACAGTAGATGGAATCCGACTGGTTTTTCAATAACTTGCATTCCATTTACACACAGGATTAGTTCATTAATCGCAGTACTGTTCAAAGTTAACTCAGTTTCACACTTGGCCTCTTAAGTTCAAAAGCCCATATTATCTACCCTGAAATATGTATTTTGATGCAAACCAATCAGTCGGCATCAATTGTGGCGCTCTAATTTAGACAGATATAAACAGGAATTATTCACATAAAATGAGGTTGAAGGACCAACATCGATCAGACAAGCGCTTCATTTAAGCAAAAAGAAGTGCAGAACTTGTTAAACCATTAAGCGAGGACCTCAATTGTGTTAGCTTCACGATACTATTTTAGCTCCATCTTTTTGGCCAAATGAACCAAAATTTGCTCATTTGTCCTCTTCAATGACCAAGAATCAATTGGAATGATGCAATCTTAAGGAAACTGAAAGAACACTATATCTTTCCTGCAATAAACCCAGCAACTTATTCAAATCAAAAGAAAAATCAGATCTATCTATCAAGCATAACCTCCTTAGTGGCTTATTTTGTCTCTATATCTCTTTCATAGATCTCCCACCTCACTAAAGGCCAGCTAAATTTTCACCATTGTGCTGTATATATATGTTAAGTTGTCAAACGACTGAGAGAAGACAGTACACATCATTCTGCGCAACTTTGGTCCTTTTCCATCAACTGATAGGCATACGGCTAATGTCATGCATTAACCATTAAGATAAACAATCTCTTCTCATTTTCTTTTTCTTCCACAGACACAATTAACTACCAAAATAATTAGAGCAAGGTCATAAATCTGGACAAGAATTTACAGAACCGCGTCGATGGGTCTTCTATCGACCCTCTAGGAATGTAAAGCTTACTTCATTCGCTGACAACGATTCAACCTTGCTGGATGAGGAACTTTCTTTACGTGGATATCTGTCTATGAGGAAACCTGGTTGTTTGGGCACAGGCAGTGTATTCTCACTGCTGAACATCATCAGGATATGTGACATCGTTGGCCTATCCTCAGGATGCTCTTGCAGACACAGCAGAGCAATATGAATGCACCGCAACACTTCAGATAGAGTGCATGTATCTACCGAGTCCATATCAATTAGTTCGATCGATCTGCCTGCTTTGTACAATTCCCAGGCCTAAAATACACCAATGAAAACCAATCATTTTTTAAGCAACTCTGGTCAGTAGATAAACCAAAGAATTCAAGTACTTAAACTTACATGTCCAATGAGGTTGCTCTCCGAATGATATAATCCTCTGTTTCTTTTTCCACTTATAATCTCTAGGACCAAAATGCCATAACTGAAGACATCTGATTTAACTGAGAACAGCCCGTCGATTGCATATTCAGGTGCCATATAGCCACTGAGGGACACAATTGAAATTGGACAGCATTAAATACGGAAGCATAATAACTTTTCCACTCTAGAAAATGAGCAGAAGCAACACTTACTAGGTGCCCGCCACTCTACTTGTATTCCCTTCTGTTTGATCCCCACCAAACATTCTAGCCAGGCCAAAATCTGAAATTTTTGGGTTCATCTCAGCATCAAGTAAGACATTACTTGCTTTTAGATCTCTATGAATAATCCTCAATCTTGAATCTTGATGAAGATAAAGAAGGCCCCTTGCAACACCGCAGATAATGTGGAACCGCTTACTCCAATCCAATAGTCTACCTCTAGCCGGATCTAGCACGTTGTCCAACTTCAGTCCAATTTCCAATTATGTTTACAATAAAAAAAACAACATATTCAAATTTGAACCAAATATAGTTACGAAATTACCAAAGATAAAGGCGTCCAAACTTCTGTTTTCCATGTACTCATAGATAAGCATTTTTTCTTCTCCCTGAATGCAACAACCAAGAAGCTTTACTAGATTTCGGTGCTGGAGTCGTGCAATCAATGTGACTTCATTCTTGAACTCCTTCAATCCTTGTCGAGAGATAGTTGAAAGTCTCTTCACAGCAATTTGTCGTCCATCTACCAGTGTACCCTGAAATGTCACATACTGTAAGATCTACAATACTAAATACATCTCCATGTTTCTGATCATCCAATCAAAATATTTCCAGTTACCTTATATACGGGTCCAAAACCACCTTCACCGAGCTTGTTTTCGATTGAAAAATTGTTTGTGCATTTTGCAAGTGTAATTAGATCAAAGAGTGGGAGCTCCAGGTCATCCTCGGTGCCTTCATTCACTAAAACTTCTGTCACATTTTCGGTTCTCTCTGAAATAGAAAAGATTCATTTATGTAATGCAAGAGACAAGAGAAGGCTGATAAATAGTTTGGGTAATTTTAACACTAATTACTCCATTTAATTAAGCAAAAACATGATCTAAAGTGTGTACACATTAACGACAGAGTCAATTATCATATAATGAGGTAGCTTTTTAACCGATTAATGAAAAACAGTGAAGCTTATGTAGGGAATAAACATTCAATTCAGGACATAGATCAAAAGAGTGAGCAGATGATCTTAGGCTATTACTGTTTGGCTGTGTTTCTCAATTTATATACTGCCTGTTCCCACTTTATGTGCCTTTGGCATATCAGTGAGATTAAGAACCAAAAAGGTCCACTTTTTCTTCAATACAGTTGCCTCTACCATCAAATCAACCCTTACTTCTACGGTTGGGAGATGTTACACAGGCCAACTGGTTGCATGTATATTCACTAGAGGAAGTATGAGAACTCCATTCAAGCACATGATATGACCAGCAAACTGAAGATCCAACACTCATGTAGCTCAAATAAAAAAATTGGTAATCTGCAGTCAGTAAGGCAGGAAAGTCAACACCACTAGGATGAACCCTTTTGAAATTTGGCAACTGTCGCCTCAAATTTGCTTACTGTAATGCAATAAGTGGAGCAGCTCAATATGTCTCAACTATTCTCTATCATGTAAATCCAGGAAAAAAATCACCTAGTCAAAAAAACCTTTAAAGTTCTGTCACAATGGGACATCATGGAGCTCTGTATATGCTAATCAAACTTGAAGATTGCTATAGGTCTTCTTTTGTTCGTAACCTAAGGGAAGTTAAAATATTGAAGCAGCCATTCATCTGTTCAAACATTGAATAAAACAAAAAGCTGCAGTAATTTTAACTTGCTAACAACTTAAGAAGTACTTGTACCTCCAGAGTTCATCCTGCTCCTGAAAACACAATAGAGGGCCGTGAGCATGGCAGCAAGTAATCCAATTGCTGGTATGACAATAGCAGTTATCAACAGTTTGCGGTTACTGTTCCCTGCTCCATTGAATTGCACATGAAGAGCATATATGTCAAAAATAATCAAGAACTTACTATAATCATCCAGTTCCCTGATAAGATCTTTTAAGTGGCCATATTGAGTTGATACCTATTTCAGAAGCTGACATCCGAATGTATATGTCTTGGCCGCCACTTGGAAACTGTCTCATATCAATAAGATCACCAAACCACAACACACAACCGCTGCCTTTCCCTCTGATATCTGAATTTGTGTACGCTGTACATGAACAGTTCTTTAAGCATCTCGTTCTGCAGTCCTTGAGGCTTAAGCTGCCATCCACCCAAGTATGTGTTGTAGCTGGCAATTTCATCTGAGTATTTTTGATAAATCCATCACCATCATTGCAACTCAAAAGCTCATCCCTGGCACATCCTTGTGACCAATCGTTTGAGTTCCACTTGTCCGGATACTTAGGCGAAAATCCTTTCAGGCACTGGCAATACGGCAACTTATCGGTCAAGCATTTGCTATAGGCACCACAAAGGCCGTAATTGTCACAATAGTCCTTTGGAACTGAAAGGAAGAGCATCCAGCTTTGAGAATCTTCATTCCAAGTGGAGAGTTCCCATAGATAGTTAGTTTGATTCACAACAATCCTAACGAGCTCCGATTTGTTCTCCACATCGAATGTATGGTACACCTCAGTTCCATTGTATATGAACTTATATGAAAAGACAGGATTAGCTCCTGACTGTGGTGCGCCGCTGAAACGGAGTCCATTCCAAGGTCCACTTCTGAAGTACTTAGTTGATCCCTTCCATGCTACAAGCTCAGGGTAGTTACTTCTCTCCAACCCCCAAGTGAAATCTCCAGGAGACGGGTCATCAAGACTCTTCCAAGAAGTTAAGTGCCGTTCTAGACCGCTATTTGCATCCCATCCAATCTTCATGTTCGGCAAAAATGTGTCAGATGGGTAATCAAAGCTTTGCCATAAATAAGTATCCGGACTGTCATTTCCGTCGTCTCTCAGCACAAGATTTCCACTATCCAAGAGCTGTAAAACTGGAGTCTGGGCCTGTTTCGTAGAGTCAGTTGACCAAACGACGCTCTTATTCTGGCTGAGGAGGACCAGCTTGCCTGTGCTGACAACCATCAAAGTGCCTGAAGAGTCATTGATTGGGTTGCTTCTGTTTGCAACCCAGACAACGGTTTTTACAGGGACATTCTTATACCAAATTCCCAAGTACCGATCCGTGAGATTACCTGGACTGAAAAATCCCAATTCGAAGGTTCCATCACTCGAAACTAGTGTCTCCCCATCACTGATTGATTGAGATGCATTTACTGTGTCAACTGCAACCGAGAATCCCGAGAACCAGATCAAGCTTTCTGTGAAAAGCAGAAGACAGAGGATGTCCATGTGCGTGGCTTACAGCTTTAAGCCCTCTCTTGGAAGAACAGAGAACTTCATGGCAATTAATCTAGGGCAAGAAACTGAGTGGGAAACCTAACAAATGATGATGAAATGGGCTAGAATGTCTCTTTTTTCAAAAACAAAAATCAACCCTTGACAGATAGCAGTAGGCACACATAAAGTATTGTCACCTGATAATGACAGGTTGAAAGAAGTCCTCCATCACGATTTGCATATTACTACTTTACACGAATGTGCAAATGGGTACCGGTAACGCTGCTGATTTGGTGTTGAAAAAATTGAATCTTTGGTAGACGCTTTCTTCAAAGCGGGAGAAAGCAAATGGACTGGCCTGCTGTTTTGTGCTTTCCAACCGCGTTTCACACTACAGAAGTCAACATGCGTTCAGAGATGGTCAAATGGGATGTTTATAATGGCATCAGCGACATCTAAAGTCAACAATGATCGGCTAAAATGAATAAAAGAATGCTTAGTTTTCTTAATGAAGAGAAGAAAGCATCCTTGCCTCTGGCTTTTGTCCTCCTCAACAGGTAGATGGAGTCCGCCTGCGCGTTGAATTAATGCATTCCCACTTACACGTTCGGATCTAGAACTATCGAAAACAACGTGATAAAAGAATTTATAATTTGAGACCAGTTACCCCACGAGGACTATTCCATGGCACATTTTCTTCCTGGGCCAATAATTGCTTTAATCTCCAAGTATAGCATTTGAAGTGGTTGAGGATTTCGTGAAGCTTAAACATTACTTACGGATGTTGGCACTCCGGATAAGAGTGTCAACAAATAAAAACACCAGTTACTCGTGTAACATGAGGCCAGAAGGGATTAACAACAATCCTAAGCAATGCTTAGGGACTGTTTAGCATTAAACTAGATTCTTCAAGAACTGAAAGAGGAACGACAAGATGCATAATAAGGACATCTTAAGGACCATTTCTGCTGTTTTAGCTTCATCTAAGGACCATCTTCTTGGGTGAAAGAATGAAACATTGCCGCCCCTTTTTCATTCAGAATGACCAAGAATCAACAAAGATAATGCAAACTCAAGGCAACTAAAGGAATGACAATTCCTGTTTTGCAAAATTGGAGCAACTTATTAGATGCCAAATCAACACCAGCTCTATTTACTAAGCCAGTTGGAACTTTGAATTGTCGCCATCATCATCTGAAAATTGGTACTATCTAACCTATATATCATTTAATGGCTCAATTGCTCATTGATCTTTCATAAGAACTGCAGTACAGTAGCTGAATCCAAGTTCAGATAGAACTCAATTTCAAGGCGAAGGATGTCCAAACCATGTGCCACCAAACGATCACACAGTCGTCCACGCGCACACACAAAACAAAATCAAGGTAAAGAGAGGAGCTGCTCAAAGCAAGCATACTGCAATCCCATTTATTCTGTTGTTTTTTTCTCTGAACAATCCCATGCCAGATCAAGAATCGGTAAGCAATTAGGAATACAACAAGAGCAGCGCATAGCGTGTCAATAAGGGTCAGACAAAACAAAAAAGAAGAAAAATCAAGAAAATCAAGAAGATCCTCAGAACTCCTTCCGGAGGGCCTCTTCCAACAAGAACTCCGACTCCTCCATCAGCTCGGGGCTTAATCTGAACATCAAGACGCAGAACTCCATCTGGTTGAGCGCGCCGTCGCCGTCGAAGTCGCCTTCCCTCAGCATGCAGCGCAGGTCGTCGTCGCTCAAGTCCTGCAGCCCCAGGAGGGCGGAGTTCCTCTTGAGGCTGTCGAACGTGATGACCCCTCGGTCGCCGTCCACCAAGAGGTTGAACCCATTACACAGCTCCCCGATCAGGCCCTCGCCGCCCAGCTTGTGGGCCATGGTGGGCAAGAAGTCGTGGAAGCTCGACTCGGCTCTCTGGGACGCCATTGACCAAGGAGGAGGAGAAGAAAGATTCGAGCTTTGTGCGGACAGATCGATGCTTTGGGAGGTTGGGGAAGATGGGTGGTGTTGAAGGAGGCATTGTGGGAGTGGGGTGTAGATATAGAAGGGAGGAGGGTCAATGGAAGTTCCGAGAAGGGAGCGGCCATGGAAGACAACTAAGGTACAGGTCGGTCTATTCGGTTTTGAGAAGCTGGTTTCTTGGAAGGTGAAGGGGAAGTTCCTTCCTTTCTTTGCACATTGGGGAGCTCGCGCGGCGGCCAAAAATAAAAAAATTTAATATATATGAAAAGAAATAGCCTCTAAATTTTCACCAAATATATAATATGATCCTGAAATTTCAATACATATTCAACGTGGTCCTTGAACTCTTGATACTTATTCAATTTGATCCCTGAATTATATGAAAATATTTAATATAGTCCTTTCAATAATTTTAGATCAAAAATAACGTTGAACGTTTTCATATAATTCACGGATTAAATCGAACATATACAAAAAGTTTCAAGACTATATTAAGTAAATTAAAAATTCAGGGACTATATTGCGTATTGGGTTAAAGTTTAGGGATCACATTGAATAAATTAAAAATTCAGGGACCATATTACACATTGAACTAAAGTTTAGTACCATGTGTCATTTTTCCTCTTAATAATGTCATAATGGCGTATCTGCATTCATCACATCTCCATCTCTTTTTGGCCGGCACTTATTTTATTTTAGTTTTATTTTATTGATTTGGTATCCGGTGCAGTAGCCTGACTTTTACCTTTCTTTTCTTTTCTTTTTTCACTTTTATTTTGCAGCATCTGAAATTTAATTATTAAATTATGAGGTATGGCAAAATTCGATCTGAGCTGCGGTAGGCAGTTGAAAATCCAACATACGGAGCAGGCAGTTGAAAATCCAACATACGGAGCAGTTTTCATTGGAAACCTCTACTCCTTGTTCTTTTCTGGTTATTCTTGATTCTTTTCTTCGGTGTGTGATGGCCGTGTGTTTGTCGGCCGAAGCATCGTAATGCGTTCCAATTGCTGTTTAAAAAGTGGGCCGCGGAAATTTAATGGGTCAATGTCAATGATGCACAGCTCATGCATCTCGAGGACGCCCTGATGGGAACTCGGTTCATTGAAAAGGTCAATGGTTGACTTTTACCCCGTCTGCTCGTTTGGTTTGGTCCTAAGCCAGCTCTTTCCGATATCTTCCTTTCTGTGATTCTCTTTTTGCTTTCTCAAGAGATGGAAACATCGGGAAACTTTGCTGACATTGCTGTCTATCTGACTTTTTCTTCCTTGGGAAGGAGGCAAAGTTGCATTTGAAGTACAATGCTTACTAGAGCAGATTACTCTTTAACGTTTCTTAGATCGGTAGGTTTGTTGGTCTTCCTTTCTTTTCTTTGCAATTTCCTGGGAATTAGTACATGTTTTCAGTCTTTTGACCACATGGCAGTTCCGCAGTTAAATATTGGTCTTTAGAGCGCATGTGATAAATGAGCAATAATTTTCCAGCCATCGGAGAGCTCTGTTGGCTCGTCACATGGTTGGATAAACCTTTTTGTCATCTTGATTTTAGCAGCGCTAATGCAGATTTTCTTCTTCTAACATCTCCTCTTCTAATCGCAGGGTGCGGAAAGAGTTGAAACGGAAGAGAAGCACTCTGTTCTCCGGAGCAAGATCACAACTGGTAAGTCCATTACATATAAAATTAAAGTCACCATGAATATACGTAAGACTAAGTTATGGGGTCTCATCACTAAAGTTTGCGGAAACGGTCGTAGACCATTGTATCAGACTTTTAGTTCAGTAGCCAGCTATCCAAAAGTGTATTTATCCACTCTCACTTTTATCGTTGCTCTATTGGTTACACACTCCGGCTTTAGCCGTATTAACAAGAGATCTTTTCCTTTTATCTAGTATACAGCAAGAAGAAAATCTAGACATACAGAAATGACCTTGGAGGACATTGAAATGCTAATTAGGGTACGTTTTTCTCATGTCGGGAATTAAACCTACTAACAGATGATGGAGTGTCTATCGGGGTGCTGGCATTGTGATTGTCACCGCACAATTTGTATAATAATCTTCCATTGTTGAAGCTGGACTTGCGTTTTCCGGGCTTCTTTCCATGAAGAAACCTGGCTGCTTAGGTTGAGGCAGAACCATTCCTTCGCTTCCCAGCATGGAAGCGACCGTTGACATGGCTGGCCTGTCTGCAGGAAACTTTTGGACGCACAACAACCCGACGTGGATGCATCTTTCTACTTGAGACTTGACGGCAGAGTCGCACAATGATTCGTTGAGAATTTCCAAGGGCCGGCCTTGGGTCCAAAGCAACCATGCCTATATGACAAATCAAATTATCCCGTTAAGCCAGCTTGCTTCTCATTGAAAGAAGAACTCACTATGTTAATATATCTGCATGAATGAGACAAAGACAGAGTTACATGCACCAGGAAGCACAAGCAAATGTTCTCTTCTAGCTCAACTTACGTGCCCAAGAAGGTTGTGGTGGTGGTTCGGATGGCAGAACCCTCTATTCTTTTTGCCGCTTATAATCTCTAATAAGAGCACTCCAAAGCCAAACACATCGGATTTCACGGAAAACTTCCCATCGAAAGCATACTCTGGGGACATATAGCCGCTGCAGTAAGCACATCATTCATTCATTAGTTCTCTAAAGCACTAACACGAGCACTCGTGAGAGATAATATGAACTTACTAGGTTCCTATCACTCTGCTAGTTTTTGCTTCATTTTCATCACCACCGAAGATCCTAGCCAAGCCAAAGTCTGAGATTTTAGGATTTAGGTTGGCATCTAGCAAAATGTTGCTCGCCTTTAAGTCTCTGTGAATAATTTGAAGTTTTGAATCTTGGTGGAGATACAGAAGTCCTCGTGCAATTCCCATAACAATGTCAAATCTTTTTTTCCAAGCCAACGAGAAGCTTTTATCCTGATCTGCATGTAACCAAACGACACAGTAGCTTTAAATGACTGATCATTGCACTACTTGCTACGTCTATTTACTGTGCAAGCTACAGAGCTCATTTGAACAGACTGAGATGAAGAGGGTCATACCAAAAATGAAACGATCTAAGCTTCCATTAGGCATAAATTCGTAAATTAAAATTCTTTCCTCTCTGTCGGTGCAGCAGCCCACCAGTCCTACGAGATTCCTGTGCTGAAGTTTTGCAATCAGAGCTACTTCATTCATAAACTCTTCAAGACCTTGTCCCGAATTCTTTGACAGCCTCTTTACTGCTATTTCTTGATCCACCGAAAGATTGCCCTGCTTAATCATTATTCAATCATTTCTTTGCCTCTTTTGCATGAACACTTAGCTATAGAATGTACACAGGTTACCTTGAAGACAGGGCCAAAGCCACCCTCTCCAATCATATTCCTCCTAGAGAAATTGTCAGTAGCAGCAGCGATCGTAGCAAAATCATATGACGGCAAGTCAAAGTCATCTTTTCCACTTCTCCAACCTAATAAATTTGAAAATCAGACATAACAGAACTACAATATGACATAGACTTAAGACAGAAATAGATCATAGCCCCTTCAATGAAAGGAAACTGAATTTGGTTGATAAATAGGTTTACCTCTCCCCTTCAGTCTTCTCCTCCTGTAAATAACCCAAATTGCCACGGCCAGAATGAACAATCCCGAAATGGCTGGAATCCCTATGATGATCAATCTTTTCTTCTTGTTGGGACTTTGGATTGCATCTAGATAGAGAAGAATGGAGGTCATTAGTTATGTTATCTAAGGTTCTGTTCCATAAGCTAAGGGTCTGCAGTCATGATCCTTAGGAAGGAGAAAAAAAGCAAGCCAAACAAATTAAATGGAGCAGGAACAAATTGCAGGTTACAAGAATATGAAATATCCACACATAACCATCCATAGACTAAAGGCTTCAGCAAGATCAGCTCTGCCAGTTTGAAGACGGATGTACCTAGTTCAGAAGCTGGTAGTCGTATGAATATATCCTGCTTGTAGTGAACTTGAAATTCTCTAATATCGATTAGGTTGCCAAACCACATTAGGCAGCCACTACCTCCTCCTGTAACATCTGAATTAGCATAAGCTACACATGAACAATTCTTCAAGCACTCGGCCTTGCAATCATTGAGGCTCATGTTCTTGTCTAACCAGAAATCTATCAGGTCAGGCAGCTTCACCCCAGAAAGTTTCAAGAAGCCCTCTCCATTTGAACAATTAAGGGGTAGTATTCTCACACAGCCCGAAGACCAGTTAAGCACGTCCCATTCCTCCTGCGACTTGGGCGTGTACCCATGTAAGCATTTGCATATCGGAGCCTGGTGAATTCTGCAGAAACCATTGGCACCACACTTCGCATAATTGTCACATAAATCATTTGGAATTGAGTACATAATATCCCATGCAGTGCTCCAATTCATATACACGAGTCGTTGTAGTAATCCAGACTGGTTTAACGTGACTCTTGTAACGACTCCATCTGATGGAGGCTCATAAATGAAATATATCTCGCTCATGTTGTAAATTAGTTCAGGCTTGGAGACTGAAGTTACTTCCATGGAAGCACCACTGAATTGAGCTCCATTCCACGGTCCTGTCCGAAACTTTATTACCGAACTTGTCGAGACTAATTCCCATTGTGGCAACCCCTGAATGTTTAGTCTGTACATATAGTCTCCAGGGGACGGATCATCTGCGCTTCTCCAGGAAGTCAGGTACGTCTCTAAACCAGTTGCCAAGTTCAACCCCATGTTCATACCAGCCAATAGTGTGTCAGATGGGTAATCGAAACTCTGCCATGAATATTCATCAGAACTTGAACTGCTATTCTCTCTAAGAACGAGATTTCCCGAGTTCAAAAGCTGAGCAACCGGATTGGTAAGTGTCCCCGAGGAATTTGAAGACCAAACGACACTCTTTGACTGGTTGAGAAGAACAAGTGCTCCATCATTAGTAATTGTAAGAGTACCATTTGAATCGGCAAGCGGGTTGTTCCTGTTGGCAACCCACACGACTGTCTCGGGAGTGATCTTGTACCATATCCCCAAGAAACTGTTCTTGGAGTTGCCCGGAGAGAAGAAGCCGAGCTCAAAGCTTTGCCCTGAGGAAACAAGTGTCTCTCCATCAATAATGGACTGGCCTGAACCTAACGAGTCACCTGCATCTGACAAGCCTAGCACCGAAAGAAAGACCATAAAAGAGTACAAGAAGGTGAAGAGAGAATGACTTTTCATTTCAATGCCTTCAAATGATTTTCTCTTGCTCTTCCCCATATATACACCTTCCCTAAAACAAGAGGCCAGCGAATTCATGCCAGAGGCTGAGTTGACCCCACAGTTTCAAATTAACATTTCAGTTGCCTCTATGCGACTCATGCTCCTCGCTCTAACGCAAAATTCTGGTGCAGCTTCGGGATGACATGGATGATTGCTTAAGTTGTCAACAATGTCAGTATCAAAAAATTTAGAGAGAAAGCATAGTCAATTATTAGATACGTGAGAAAGTAAGCAATACATCTTAATTCCATTTATTTTTATAGTAGCCCTTATTTGGCTGGTGGTCACACCACGCCATATTAGTTTGACTTGGAGCTTCCACAAAATCAAAATAAACTGTCGTGTTAACTTCAGTCCTTTTCAGTGCAATTGGAGCTCTCTATCATGTAGCTTCGCGATGCTTTCTTGTAATAGGGATTCATAGCAAAACTATCATCATCTGGGGAAATTAAACGATTCAACACTAAACTGCGTTTGATGAAGCATGATCAGGGGGCTCGAGCCTTAGCGAAGGCGACTTTTTATCTCGATAACTGTCCAGTTGTATCGAAACTGGGAGACTGCCATTACCCGATTGGATCAGTCGAGATCTCTCAAGAGACCCGAGCACTCAATGTCATGAAAAAAGAAGAGAATGGTTTGATGGACTCGTGAACAAAGAATTGCTTCCTCAGGCTCAAGTACATTGACCAGGTTTTCCATAAACTTGTGATTTGACTAAGTATAAATCCTATCTTTGACTTTTCTAGAGCTGCAACGGGCTAATTTCAAAAAAAAAAAAAAGCACCAATTTAACATCAAGTGACAATTTTGATTTGAACTTTTTTTATCTCAATAATAAACATCAACTTTTACTCTAGTCTTAAATCGTCCCCTGTGATGTAAACTTATTTAAGTGAAGGTTGTGATTTCTTATGAGATAAAAAAAAATTTTAACTCAGAATTGTCACTCAAGATAAAATTGATGTTTTTTTCTTGTAATTAGGCCGAGCCACAACTCATTCATATACATTCTGTGAAAGTTAATATTTGTTTTTGTCAATTTGCCCATTATTTGCCTCTAAACGAAACCCCAAAAAATAGCATCTACTAGTAGGGGTGTAAATGGTTCGGTTCGGTTCGGTTTTTCAAGAAAACCGAACCGAACCGAACCATTAATGGTGCCCCCTTGAACCGAACTGAATTTGAACCGAACCGAATTGGAACCAAACCGAAAAATCGGTTTGGTTCGGTTTGGTTCGGATCAGTTTTTGGTTTCAAGTTCATTAAGCAGAGAGAGAGAGAGGAGAGAGGAGAGAGAAGGGGAGAGAGAGGGCAAAATAGCCCTAAACCGAAGTGTTTATTTTAGTTCGATTCGATCCAAACTGATCCGAACCGAACCGAAATAAACCGAACCAAAAAGAAAAATTGGTTTATTTTGATGATCCGAACCGAAACCGAAACCAAAACCGAACCGAAATGCACGAAATTTTCGGTTCGATTCAGTTCGGTTCGTATCTCGGTTCGATTTTTCGGCTCGGTTCTGACACCTCTATCTACTAGCTAGAAAAGGAAAAGCATTAATGACCTAGTTTTTTTTCTTTCCACCAATTATGGCCCAACATAAGTCTTATCTCGCGGTCATTGCTCCCGCGTTGATTGACGCAATAAATGTCAATTTATATGGGCGATATGGCATGTCTAAAGTCAAATCCCTGTACCTGCTTCCTGAGAAAAACCTTGGTCTGTAACACGAGTTTCTAGATCCACCCGGTCCGTTAATTCTGTACTGCCGCCCATGCCAATGAATTCTCTGTATGTGCAGAAACTGAGCTATGGTCATAGAGGAGACTGAGTAATGTTCTTACGGCTGCTAGCCCAAATGTAATGGACACCGAAGGAACACATTGATGACTATTTCTTGATTCGCAGCTGAGGGGAGATGGTTCAACTATTCCGTGTCCAAAATACCCTCAATTGAAGTCTATGGATCCTCTGACCAAGAAAAAATGTCTATGGATCCATCTTAATGGGCACTACATGTAACGAGTTTCGACTGGGGATTTCATGTGCAATCTCTTATTCATTTCAATAAGAAATGTATGACATTATCATGGACTGAGTTCTCACAAAATCCACATGAGATGTGCTTATCAATTTTTCAAGTTTTGATTTTGTAACTAAATCACGCGTATGACTATCGTAGTCAGTTACTTCTCGTTAGGGACTACAGAAACATAAGATATTCTTAAGTATTTTGGGTAACGCATTCATCTGAAATTTAATTTCAATTGATGATTTTGGTTCATTGATACACTTCCAAGACTAAAAATTACAGAGAAAACTGAAAACTGCGATTAATATGGACCTCAAATGGGAAGTGCTAATTGGAGATGATGTGGTGCCTGTTTTCAGATCATCTTATTTGTCAAACACATAAATTATGATTTTTCAGCTGGTTAAGGCTTCAACGAGTCTAATGTTCGACATCTGCATCAAGCCTGTAACTGGAATTTTTTTGCTTAGGCTCTACTCATTAGAGACAATTAACCAATTCCACTTTCGATCGAACGGGTTCTAGATTTTATTTCCTTGCATATATCATTGACTCCCTTGGTACTCATATATTTGAGACTCCATCTGACACTTTCGTGACACATACAGATGCGAACCTCATTGTGCAAAGACATCACCACGGTCATTGAGCATCGCCAAGCATCATCCTGTTTGTTTTGGCTTTAAATCTGAAAGATTTCCTTGTTAAGCCACTTGAACAAGAATTCCAGGAGATTTACAAAACTGCCGAATCAATAGTGTGTCTATCCAGCTTCTGGCATTGTTATAGTCACGAGATTACATGTATAGAGTTCTCTCGGTGAAGTCAAATCCGAGCTTGTTGGACTTCTTTCCATATAGAAACCAGGCTGCTTAGGCTGTGGTAAGATTGCTTCCTGATTCGCCAGCATGAAACAACAGAAGACATTGTTGGCCTATCTGCGGGAAATTTCTTGACGCACAACAAACCCACTTGTATAGATCTCTCTACTTGATATTCAATGCAGGAGTCGGTTTAAGAATCATCCATAAGTTCCAAGGCCCTGCCTTCATTCCACAGCAACCATACCTAAGAACACAAACAGATGAGCTCACTCTCCAATCACAGTAGACGACTCAACTTTAATATGAAAAGACTTGGACATCAAAGACATTCAAAGTGTTTGGAAAACAGCATTACTTATCCTAAGCTTCAACTTACATGTCCAAGAAGGTTGTGGTGGTGACTTGGATGGCAGAATCCTCTGTTCCTTTTCCCACTCACTGTCTCTAACAAAAGCACGCCAAAGCTAAATACATCGGATTTCACCGAGAATTTTCCATCAATGGCATACTCTGGGCACATGTAGCCACTGTATTAAAAAAATCACATTTCAGTTCTCCCAATGCCGTGGAAAGTATGAACTTTGGAACTCATGAAGCAAGATGGCTAACTTACAACATACCAATTATTCTTTTAGTTCTTGCTTCTTTTTCATCACCTACAAAAATTCTCACCAATCCAAAATCAGAAATTTTTGGATTTAGGTTGGCATCCAATAAGATGTTGCTTGTTTTGAGGTCTCTATGAATGACTTGAAGTTTCGAATCTTGGCGGAGATAAAGGAGCCCTCGTCTGATTCCAATTATTTAGTTAAAGCGCTTTTCCCATTCCAAGGAGAAGGGTCTGTTGCAATCTGCAGACATTCAAACTCAATATAAGCTTCAAGTGTTTGTTCCTTGCTGTTTTATATATATGACTCATGGAAGGAATCAATTTTGAAAGGCTAATATCTTTGTGCAGTGAAAAAAATCAATAAGAATTAAGAAGATCAAACCAAAAATAAAATTATCCAAGCTTTTATTCGGCATGTATTCGTAAATCAACATTCTTTCTTCTTTCTCAATGCAGCAGCCAAGAAGCCCAATGAGATTCTTGTGTAGAAGTCTTGCAATCGAAGCTACTTCATTCATGAACTCTTCGCGACCTTGTCCTGAATTCTTTGACAACCTTTTCACTGCTATTTCTTGGTCTGTTGAAAGATTTCCCTGCATGATTTTCAGCGTATGCCATCTTCTGCTATAAACTATATTAATATCATGTTACCTTGTAGACTGAACCAAAGCCTCCTGATCCAATCATATTCGTTGGAGCGAAATTATTAGTAGCAGCAGCAATTGTATACAAATCAAATAATGGAAGGTCAATGTCATCCTTTGCATGCCTCGAGTCTACAGACACAATTATTGAATATAACAGAACATGAAGAAATTGAACCAAAAAAAAAAAAAAAGAAGAGGAGAATTTCTAATGACCAGGCAATGTACTTTCACTATGTGAAGCAAATTGTTTACCTCGTACTTTCGATACTCTCTTCCAGGTTATTGTTACAGTCCAGAGGATAATACCCAGCAAGAGCAATCCAGAAATGGCTGAGGTCACTACGATGGTCACCAGACTTTTACTTTTGTTGGGTACATGGATCAAATCTGGAGTACCAAATGATAATTACTTCTAATATATCTAGTAGATATTATCACTATAAGCTGAGAAATATGTAATAGACTACAACGTCAATCCAGTATTGGGGAGAATTCCCTATGAAACAGCTGGTAGACAGCAAAATGTAAAAGCAATAGCTATATTAGTTATGAAATTAATGTACCTAATTCTGAGCAGATAGACGTACTCATAGATGGCATCTTCAAATTCACTGGTATACATTAGGTCCCCGAACCACATTAGAAAACCGCTTGCTCCTCCTCTGACATATGAATTAGCATAAGCTGTACACGAACCGCTCCGAAATTTCATGACTGAAGCATTGTTGAATACTTCGAATTGGGGCAACCATAAATCCTTAACCTGCAGGTATACTCTCCAAGGGACGGATCATCCCTGCTTTTCCAAGAAGTCAGGTACTTTTCAGTACCGGTTCTGAAGTCCCATCCAAGTTTCATACCGGACAAAAGGGCGTCTGATGGATGGTCAAAGCTCTGCCATGTATAGTCGTCAGAACTCAAACTGGCATCCTCTCTAAGAACAAAAGATTCCCAGACTCCAAGAGCTGTGCAACTGGATTTCTTAGAATCCTGGATGAATACGAAGACCAACTGACACTTTTTGATTGGTTGATAAGAATCAAATTCCCCTTGTGGCTAAATGTGAGAACAACCCCTGAATCATTGAGTGGGCTGTCTCTATTAGCAACCCAGACAACTGTTTCGGGGGTCATCTTGTACCATATCCCCAAGAACCTGTTCCTGGAGCTTCGCGGGGAGAAGAAGCCAAGCTCAAAGCTTTGGCCTGAGGAGACCCGTGTCTCTCCATGGTTCATGGACTGGCCTGAACAAACTTTGCTAACATTGCCATCTATCTGACCTTTCCTTAACAAGCAGGCAAAATGCATTTGAAGTGCAATGTCTATGGGAACAAATTACTCTTTAACGTTTCCTAGATTGATAGCTTTTTGTCTTCCTTTCCTTTCTTTGCAATTTCCTCGGAATTAGTACATGTTTTGAGTCTTTTGACCACATTGCCATTTTGCGATTGAGTACTGGTCTTTAGACCACATGTGATGTATGACCAATAATTTTCCGGGAAAATTCCATTTTGGTACCCCAAGTGGAAGCGTTTTCTCAATTTGGTACCCAAAGTGGACACGGTGTCAAATAAGGGCCTGAAGTGCCCAATTAGTCTCAAATAAGGACCCGAAGTGCCCAAAAAGTCTCAAATAAGGGCCTGGGTCGCCGGCCGGCCAAAATTACCTGCCGGCCGGCAAGAATGTACTGTTCCGGCACCGGAACAGTACTTTTTAATTTTTTTTCCCTTTCTGTTTTTCCTTTTCTGTTTTTTTTTTCCTTTTCCTTTTCTTTTTTTTTTTCTTCTCTTCCTCCCCCGGCCATAGCCGGGCCCGGCGGAGGTAGCCCGCCTCAGGCAGAGGCGGCCCTCGCCGGCGTCGGGCGAGGTCAGCCTCTCCAGTTGTCGGCGAGGTCGCGCCTCGCTAGATCCGGCGAGGGCTCGGCCCCGCCGGTCGCTGGCGAGGCTCGACCTCGCCAGCGTCGGGCGAGGCCGGTCTCGCCGTTGCAGGCGAGACCGACCTCGCCCGACGCCGGTGAGGTCAAGCCTCGCCAGCGGGTCGAGCCCTCGCCAGATCTGGCCAGGCTTGACCTCGCCAGCGACCGGCGGGGCCGAGCCCTCGCCAGCGACCGGCGGGGTCGAGCCCTCGCCAGATCTGGCGAGGCTCGACCTTGCCGGCAACTGGCGAGGCTGACCTCGCCTAGCCCAGGCTAGGGTGGCCCTTGCCCGACGCCGGAGAGGGCCGCCTTCGCCTGAGGCGGGCGACCTCCGTCGGCCCCGGCTATGGCCGGCAGAGGAAGAGAAGAAAGAAAAAAAGAAAAGGAAAAACAGAAAGGAAAAAATAATTAAAAAATACTGTTTCGGTGACGGAACAGTACATTCTTGCCGGCCGGCAGGCAATTTTGGTCGGCCGGCGACTCAGGCCCTTATTTGAGACTTTTTGGGTATTTCGGGTCCTTATTTAAGACTAATTGGGCACTTCAGACCCTTATTTGACACCGTGTCCACTTTGGGTACCAAATTGAGAAAACGCTTTTACTTGGGGTACCAAAATGAAATTTTCCCTAATTTTCCGGCAATCAGAGAGCTCTGTTGGCTCATCACATGATTTGATAAACCTTTTGTTATCTTGAAATCAGTGGCACTAATGCAGATTGTTCTCTTTAACATCTCCTCTTCTAATTGCGGGGTGCAGAAAGAGTTGAAAAGGGGAGAGAAGCACTCTGTTCTCGAGAGCAAGACAGTGGCAAGTCCATTACATATCTAATTAACGTCACCAAAATATACATTAAACTATTTTATGGGGTCTCTGTTGAGATGCACCTATGAGTTGTGTTAGAAAGTTTCATATCAGACAATTGTTATGGTGCGGCACAGTTAATATATTATAGTTGGTCAATAATTTATTGGCTTAAACTTTTGAGTGAACATGGATCTAATTAGATATTGACGGGCTGGAATTTGGGCTCTCATTGGCGATCTCTCTAGGTGCAGTATCGGGCTTCTGCTTAGTATTAAGGCCGATGGTTGATTGGTTGGCTGGTGTAAACAGTCTCATCACTAGAGATTGCGGAAACTGTTTTGGACCATTGTATCAAACAATTAATTCGGTGGTATTTAACCACTTACACTTTTATCATTGTTCTATTGGTTCCAGTATCCCGCATTAGCAGTATCAACAAGAAGCCTTTTCCTTTTATCAAGTATACGCCAAGAAGAAAATCTAGACATAGAGAAATGTCTTTGTAGGACATTGAAATGCTAACTAGGTCTATGTTTTTCTCGTATTGGGTACAAAACCTCAATGATAGATGATGAAGTGTCTACCGGGCTTCTGGCATTGTGATGCTCACTGCACCGTACGTATAAAAATCTTCCCCAGTTGAAGTTGAACTCAAGTTTTCCGGACTTGTTTCCATGAAGAAACCCGGTTGCTTAGGTTGAGGCAGAACCGTTCCTTCGCTTCCCAGTATGGAAGCTACCGTGGACATGGCCGGCCTGTCTGTGGGAAACTTTTGGACGCACAACAACCCAACATGGATGCATCTTTCTACTTGAGGCTCGATTGCAGAGTTGCACAATGATTCGTTGAGAAGTTCCAAGGCCCTGCCTTGGGTCCAAAGCAACCATGCCTATGACAGATCAAATTGTACCATTAACCTAGCTGGCTTGTCATTGAAAGAAGAAACTGACTATGCTAATACATCCGTATGAACCAGACAAAGACAAAGTTACACGCACCAGAAAGCACAAGCAATGTTTTCTTCTAGCTAAACTTACGTGCCCAAGAAGGTTGTGGTGGTGGTTTGGATGGCAGAACCCTCTATTCTTTTTGCCACTCACAATTTCTAATAAGAGCACGCCAAAGCTAAATACGTCGGATTTCACAGAAAACTTCCCATCAAAAGCATACTCTGGGGACATATAGCCGCTGCAGTAAGCAGATCATTCATGCATTAGTTCACTAGAACACTAACTCGAGCGCTCGTGAGAGATAACATGAACTTACTAGGTTCCCATCACTCTGCTAGTTTTTGCTTCTTTTTCATCACCACCGAAGATCCTAGCCAAGCCAAAGTCCGATATTTTAGGATTTAGGTTGGCATCCAGCAAAATGTTGCTCGCCTTTAAGTCTCTGTGAATAATTTGAAGTTTTGAATCTTGATGGAGATAGAGAAGTCCTCTTGCAATTCCCATTACAATGTCAAATCTTCTTTTCCAATCCAACGAGAAGCTTTTATCCTTATCCGCACGTCACCAAATGACACAAAAGCTTCGAGTGACTGATCTTTGCACTACTTGCTACGCCTATATACTGTACGAGCTATAGAGCTCATTTGAACAGACCGAGATTGAGAGTGTCATACCAAAAATGAAATGATCTAAGCTTCCATTAGGCATAAATTCGTAAATCAAAATTCTTTCCTCTCTCTCGGTGCAGCAGCCCACCAGTCCTACGAGATTCCTGTGCTGAAGTTTTGCAATCAGAACTACTTCATTCATAAACTCTTCGAGACCTTGTCTGGAATTCTTCGACAGCCTCTTTACTGCTATTTCTTGATCCACTGAGAGATTGCCCTGCATAATCAATAATTCAATTATTTCTGTGCCTCTTGCATGAACACTTAGCTACAGACTGTACACAGGATACCTTGTAGACAGGGCCAAAGCCGCCCTCTCCAATCTTATTTCTCCAAGAGAAATTGTCAGTAGCAGCAGCGATCGTAGCAAAATCATGTAACGGCAAGTCAAAGTCATCCTTTCCAGTTCTCCAACCTAATTACTTTGAAAATCAGACATCACAGCACTACAATATAACATAGACTTAAGAGAAATTGATCATAGCCTCTTTAATGAAAGGAAACTGGATTTGGTTGATAAATAGGTTTACCTCTCGCCTTCAGTGTTCTCCTCCTGTAGATCGCCCAAATTGCCATGGCCAGAATGAAAAATCCCAAAATGGCTGGAATCCCTATGATGATCAATCTTTTCTTTATTTTGGGAGTTTGAATTGCATCTAGATAGAGAAAAATGGAGGATATTAGTTTTGTTAGCGAAGATTCTGTTCCATAAGCTAAAGTTCTGCACTCACGATCCTTTGAAAGGAAAAAAAAAACAATCCAATCGAACTAAATGAAGCGGGAACAAATTGCAGGTTACAGGAACATGAAATACCCACACATAACCATCCAATAGACTAAAGGCTTAAGCAAGATCCGCTCTGCCAGTTTGAAGATGGACGTACCTAGTTCAGATGCTGGTAGTCGAATGAATATATCCTGCTCGTAGTGAACTTCTTGAAATTCTCTAATATCGATTAGGTTACCAAACCACATTAGGCAGCCACTACCTCCTCCGGTAACATCTGAATTAGCATAAGCTACACATGAACAATTCTTCAAGCACTCGGCCTTGCATTTATTGAGGCTCATGTTCTTGTCCAACCAGAAATCTATCAGGTCAGGCAGTTTCACCCCAGCAAGTTTCAAGAAGCCCTCTCCAATTGAACAATTAAGGGGTAGTATTCTCACGCAGCCCGAAGACCAGTTAAGCACGTCCCATTCCTCCTGCGACTTGGGTGTGTACCCGTGTAAGCATTCACATATTGGAGCCTGGTTAATTCTGCAGAAACCATTGGCACCACACTTCGCATAATTGTCACATAAATCATTTGGAATTGAGTACATAATATCCCATGCAGTGCTCCAATTCACATACACGAGTCGTTGTAGTAATCCAGACTGGTTTAGCATGACTCTTGTAATGACTCCATTTGATGGAGGCTCATACGTGACATATATCTCGCTCGCATTGTAAATTAGTGCAGGCTTGGAGACTGGACTTGGTTCCATGGAAGCACCACTGAATTGAGCTCCATTCCACGGTCCTGTCCGAAACTTTATTACCGAATCTGTCGAGACTAATTCCCATTGTGGCAACCCCTGAATGTTTAGTCTGTACATATAGTCTCCAGGGGACGGATCGTCTGCGCTTCTCCAGGAAGTCAGGTACCTCTCTAAACCAGTTGCTAAGTTCAACCCCATGTTCATACCAGCCAATTGCGTGTCAGATGGGTAATCGAAGCTCTGCCATGAATATTCATCAGAACTCAAACTGCTATTCTCTCTAAGAACAAGATTTCCCGAGTTCAAAAGCTGAGCAACCGGATTGGTAAGTGTCCCCGAGGAATTTGAAGACCAAACGACACTCTTTGACTGGTTGAGAAGAACAAGTGCTCCATCATTAGTAATTGTGAGAGAACCATTTGAATCGGCAAGCGGACTCTTCCTGTTGGCGACCCAGACGACCGTCTCGGGAGTGATCTTGTACCATATCCCCAAGAACCTGTTCTTGGAGTTGCCAGGAGAGAAGAAGCCGAGCTCAAACCTTTGGCCTGAGGAAACTAGTTTCTCTCCATTACTAATGGACTGGCCTGAACTTAATGTGTCACCTGCATTTGACAGGCCTAGCACTGAAAGAAAGACCATAAATGGGTACAGGAAGGTGAAGAGAGGATGCCTTTTCATTTCAATGCCTTCCAATGACTTTCTCTTGCTCTTTCCCATAAATGCCTTCACTAAAATAAAAGGCCAGCGAACTTATGCAGTCTATCATGACGACTATCGGAGGATTATGTTCTTCCAGGAACTGTAGAGGTTGAGTTGACCCCACTGATCCAAATAAAAACATTATTTGCCTCTATGTTACTCAAACTCTTCGCTCTAACGTAAAATTCTGGTGCAACTTAAATTGGCACGGATGATTTTTCAAGTTGTCACCAATGTCAGTATAAAAAAATTTAGAGTGAAAGCATAGTCAATTATTAGACACGTGACAAAGTAAACAATACATCTTAAATCCATTAATTTTTGGGACGGATAATTTATTGTGGCAATAAGGAAGCTTTCATAGTAGCCCTTGTTAAACGTGGTCATATCACGGCATATTAATTTGAATTCAAGCTTCCACAAAATCATAATAAATTTTCATGTACGCTTCAGTCCTTTTCAGTGCAATCGAAGCTCTCCATCATGTAGCTTCGCGATGCTTTCTTGTATCAGGGATTGATAGCAAAACTATCATCAAATAGGGAAATTAAATGATTTAACACTAAACTGCGTCTGATGAAGCATGACCAGGGGCGCGAAGGCAACTTTTATCTCCATAACCATCCAGTTGTAGTGAAACTGGGAGACTGCCATTACCCGATTGGCTTAGTTGAGGTCTCCAAGAGACCCGAGCACTCCATGTCGTGGAAAAAGAAGAGCATTGTTTGATGGCCTAATGAAAAAAAGAAATTGCTTCCTCGGGCTCAAGTACATAACAGGTTTCCTTGAACTTGTTTTGGTTTGACTAAGTAATCTTGACTTTTCTGGAGCTGCAACTCGATGAGATACGTTCTGCGAAACTCAATATATATTTTTTTTCAATTTGCCCATTATTTGTCTCTAAAGAAAACCCCAAAAAATAGCATCTGCTAGACAACAAGTGATGACCTAGTTTTTCTCTGTTCCATCCACCAATTATGACCCAACATGAGTCTTTTTCTTGCGGTCATTATTCCGTGTAGATTCTTGCACTGAAGTCTATGGTCTTCACGCCAACCCCCAAATGACTGCAGAAAAAATGCGACCCGGTACTTCTTATTATTTCGTTGGCCTTTTCTGTCGAGAGAGCAAAGCTGATAGCAACAATCAGGAGAGAAACAACGTGATAGATGCTGAAAAGTAGAAATACACGTCCAAATTATACGGTCGATATGGCATGTCTAAAGTCAAATCCCTGGTCCTACTTCCTGAGAAAAACCTTGGTCATCCTCAGTCCACGTTTGCCACAAGCCCGCTATGTCTATAACATGAGTTTCTAGATCCACCTGGTCCGTCAATTCTGTACTGCAACCGATGCCAATGAATTTTCTGCACGAAACTGAGCTATGCTTGTAGAAGGGGGAATTACCCAAAAAGTCTTAAACGTATTACACTTGTGCTAATTCAATACTATGAGTCATCGACATCTAGTTCATAGGCCAGACTTCCATTTTTCTCTGGTTAAATTGGTTTTTGAGGTGCAAATCATGCTGCTTACAATTATGATTTCCAAGGAAGAATCAGTAATGTCATCCGCAGGTTGCGGTTTTCACGTAATGCTATGTCTGCATACAGACCAAAAAAAAAAACAGTCCGCACAATTTCTGGCTACTTTATTTTCACGATACAAGCAAATTTTACTTCAATGTTCCTTCTCTTGGATTTGCATTTAATACTATCACATTCAGTTAAAAATACACAGAGAAATTATCAAAAAAGCCATAAACTTATTGTACTTGTACCAATTCAGTCATAAACCTTTCACTTTGGCAAATTTGGTCCTAAACCTTTTTAAAATTTTCCAGTGTAGTCAATCTGGCCAAATTTGGCTAGAAATTGATGAGATGGACGTCCGCCGTCTTACGTGACACAACCGACACTAACATGATAATTTTTGAAAATTTTAAAATTTTTTTCCTTTCCTTTTCTTTCTTTTTTATTGTTAAGGGCCGGCAGGGGCGAGGACCGTGAACCCTCGCCAGCAGCGTGTGAGGGCAGCGAGCCCTTGCCACGAGCCCTCGCCGACCACCTTTTCTCAACCAACCACTAGATTCCCTTCATGGCTGAATGTTAGAACACCATTTGAATTAGTTCGTTGGCTCTCCATTAGCAACCCAAACAACTGTCTCAGTAGTGATCTTGTTTTATTCTTGGAGCTTTCAGGGGAGAAGCCAAGCTCAAACCTTTGGCCTGAAGAGACCAATGTCTCTCCATCTTTCACAGACTAATCTAAACTCAAAGTATCCACTCCAAATGACAACCCAACAATGACATAAAGATGATAAAACAATAAATGCAGGTGGCAAAAGGTTTTTTTTGCATTTGATTGAAGACTTCAACCGATCTTCTGTTGCTCCCCATAATTAAATCCATCTTTGTTTCAGATCAGGGAAGGCAGAAGGGTCAGACGAAGTCCACCTTGCAGGTTGCCACAAGATCAAGAAGATTGACATTAACAGCAGTGACGTGTACGTTAAGATGAGTTATGTGTCAACTAATTTAAAATATCTTCTGGTCCAGAAGAAACTAAAGTCAGAGCAAGAATTTCTGCGTAATTTTTCTACGACTCACATCCACCTTCTTGTGATGTAACAGTCAAAGTAAACAATTTCAGTTTGACCTGGATGTTTCCAAGGTTGTTGACCATGTCCTATTATCACTCCTGTCTCTATTTTCTCAGGATCCACTGCGCGATGCGCTTTCATACAATAGGATTTGTTGCAAGCGATATTGAATGCTACGAATGTACTGACGTCTCGCTCATTTGTCCGACTTCATGTGTGCTGGTTTAAGTTTGTCTTTGAATAATGCAAATTTTGGAATGGTTATTACTATGATTTCCAATGTCATTCGTACAGTACAGTCTTCATGTGATGTTATGTCTGCATAAATCCCAGCTAGTCTATTTTTATTACAAACAAGGTTATTTCCCTTCCAGATTCAAAGTTTCCATATTTTTGTCAACAGTTCGGTCTCCTATATTCGCATTTAATCCTGTCCCATTCAGTTAAAAATCAGCAGCAGAAGCTATAGCTTGAGAATAAATCCCCAGAGATTAACAAAATCAAAGAACACATCAGAAGAAAGAACATTGCTATCATATACTTCTACTTGAATGTCCAAAATGGTTGCGGTGGTGACTTCGAGTATGGATCTCCTCTATTCCTTTTACCACTAACTATCTCTAACAAAAGCAATCCAGATCCACATTCATCAGATTTCACGCAACATTTCCCACCAAAGGCCTACGCTGGTGGCATAGCCACTACCGAACATTCATGTCTCGAAACTGTCCTAAAGTCGACCAGCGAGCATCTAAGAAACAAGACTGCAGACTTTCTAAGTATTATTATTTGTACTTCTCGTTTCTGCTTCTTTCTCGTTGCCAATCATGTTGGTTGTTTGTTTGTAAAACAAACAAAATAGTGCTTTTTCCTTTGTCCCACATAGGAAAGTTTTGAGAAAGTGGGCCACTTTATAACTGTGAATATCTTATTGCTCTTTAGAGTGAAGACAATGGGGTGTGTGCTAGTCCACACAATACCCGCATGCGGGTGCGCGATTATTACCACTTAGCACTTTATATTTTTATCTTATTTCGTAAGGTTATCTTATTAATTTTTATTATTTGAAAGGTTGTTTTTTTGTTTATTAAGTAATTTTCGAAATTATGAAAATTCGGAATTATATATTTATTTATTTTATTCTGAATTTTACATGTGTCTTTCCAAGACAACTTTTGAAGATTATATTTGTTCAATTTTCAATCTTTTCCGAAGGGTTGCATCTATTCAGTTTGCAACTTCTTCCGAAGGAATATCTTTGTTAGCTTTGCAACCTTTCGTGAAGAGTTGCCAATATTCTTTAAGACCGATTTCTATATATGTCAGTTTTTGGCAAGAAAGAAAAGTGAGATCAATTTCTTCAAGTCTTCTTTCGAAAACTACAGTCATCATTTCTTTTGTTTCCTAGAGAGACCTTGGAGAAATACTAGAATTGCTATCTAGTATTCTCATTTTGAGACTTTGTTGTATCCTGGAGGATTTTTGCCGGTGACCATTAGCAACAATTGTGGGGCAAATAAATCCTTAAGGAAAGTGATATCACGCCTCAAAGTCCGACTTGATTGCTCTTTGATTCGAAGCTATTCAAATTTACAACAAATCATAGGTTTGAAACTTTAAGATTTAGAATAGCGCCCAAGAAGTACATTGCTTGTTTTCAGGTCCTTGTGAATGACTTCAAGTTTTGACTCTGGGTGGAAATAGGGAAATCATGCAATTGACGAGAAAATTTCGCTTTTTAAATGACCAAATGGTAGATCATCCTCCGGATGCTCTGTTCTTCAATTTGACTCCTCACACCTTTTTGTCTCAAGCATGAAAGTTGCACATGCAAAAGTATGTCTTGGAAACAAAATCAATTTACCAGGCCCTATGCTCTTATTCCACAAGCTAATCCCCGGTTACCATGGTGTTTACCACATCACAAATAACAGAAGAAATGAGAAATTTATAATCGTTATCATTCTGTGAGGCTCAGTCCGTTTCTACCTTTGTTGCGCATGCTGGAAATACGGACATAGGGAGATTGTACCAATGATTAACACTATCATGTACTAGATTTTCAACACTCAACTGAATGAAGCCGGGTCTAGTGGGACACTTGAAAACGTTTAGTCTTTTGATCAAACATTTGCCATAGTTATCTTCTGTCCATAAACTTATAAGAACCCATTAGATACTTTCCTCAGCCACAGGCAGGTATGAACCTCATTGTGCCAAGACGTCCCTGTGGCTATTGATATCCTCAGGTGCCATCCTTTGCGTTCTGAATTTAAGTGCTAGAATTTCCCTGCTAAAACCACTCAGGAGAGAAAGGAGCCGGACAACATTCCATTCACTAGTATCTCTATCGACCTTCTAGCATTGTTATGGTGATGAGATTATCTGTATAGAGTTCTCTCGGTGAAGTTGCACCTGAGTTTGTTGGACTTCTTTCCATGAAGAAACCGGGCGGTTTAGGGTGTGGCAATATTGCTTCTTCATTTGCTAACATGAAAACCACGGAAGACATTGATGGCCTATCACCAGGAAATTTTTGGACACATAACAAACCCACAGGTATGCATCTCTCTACTTGAGATATAATGGAGGAGTCAGCTAAAGAATCATCCAGAAGCTCCGATGCCCTGCGTTCATTCCAAAGCAGCCATGCCTGGAACAAAGTAGCTGATCAACAAATTGCTCGATCGCCCATGACAATAGAATTGAAATGCAATCTCAGATTACCAGCGTATCAAAGTAAATTTTATATTTCAGGCAGCACTACTGGCTACCCGCTTTAACTTACATGTCCCAGAAGGTTGTGGTGGTGGCTTGGATGGTAGAATCCTCTGTTCCTTTTCCCACTAACTATCTCCAATAAGAGCACTCCAAAGCTAAACACATCAGATTTAACAGAGAATTTTCCATCAAAGGCATACTCTGGGGACATGTATCCACTGCATTAAGAAAATCATATCTCATTTAGCCCATCTATTTGATCTCATTAACTTTTGAACACATGAACTAAGATAATCAACTTACTAAGTTCCGATTATTCTTCTTGTTCTTGCTTCTTTTTCATCACCTCCAAAAATTCTTGCTAATCCGAAATCGGAAATTTTGGGATTTAGGTTGGCATCCAGTAAAATGTTGCTTGTTTTAAGGTCTCTATGAACGACTTTTAGCTTTGAATCTTGGTGGAGATAAAGGATTCCGCGTCCAATTCCAATAATAATCTCAAAGCGCCCATCCCATGGCAACGAGAAGCGTTTGTCGTGATCTGTGGACATTCAACAACCCCATATAAGCTTCAAGTGTTCGATATCTTGCACTGATATATGCACATTGTCCAAAATTGGTGCATATATCATTGACTCCCTCGGCACTCATCTATTTGAGACTCCATCTGACGTTTTCGCGACACATACAGATGCGAACCTCATTGTGCAAAGACATCCCCATGGTCATTGAGCATCGCCAAGCATCATCCTGTTTGTTTTGGCTTTAAATCTGAAAGATTTCCTTGTTAAGCCACTTGAACAAGAATTCCAGGAGATTTACAAAAATGTCGAGTGAATAGCGTGTCTATCGAGCTTCTGGCATTGTTGTAGTCACGAGATGACTTGTATAGAGTTCTCTCGGTGAAGTCAAATCCGAGCTTGTTGGACTTCTCTTCCATATAGAAACCAGGCTGCTTAGGCTGTGGTAAGATTGCTTCCTGATTCGCCAGCATGAAAACAACAGAAGACATTGTTGGCCTATCTGCGGGAAATTTCTGGACGCACAACAAACCCACTTGTATAGATCTCTCTACTTGAAATTCAATGCAGGAGTCGGCTAAAGAATCATCCGTAAGTTCCAAGGCCCTGCCTTCATTCCACAGCAACCATGCCTAAGAACACAAACAGATGAGCTCACTCTCCAATCACAGTAGACGACTCAACTTCAATATGAAATGACTTGGACATCGAAGACATTCAAAGTGTTTGCAAAAGAGCATTACTTATCGCAAGCCTCAACTTACATGTCCAAGAAGGTTGTGGTGGTGACATTGATGGCAGAATCCTCTGTTCCTTTTCCCACTCACTGTCTCTAACAAAAGCACGCCAAAGCTAAATACATCGGATTTCACAGAGAATTTTCCATCAATGGCATACTCTGGGCACATGTAGCCACTGTATTAAAAAAATCACATTTCAGTTCTCTTAATGCCGTGGAAAGTATGAACTTTGGAACTCATGAAGCAAGATGGCTTACTTACAAAGTACCAATTATTCTTTTTGTTCTTGCTTCTTTTTCATCACCTCTAAAAATTCTTGCCAATCCAAAATCAGAAATTTTTGGATTTAGGTTGGCATCCAATAAGATGTTGCTTGTTTTGAGGTCTCTATGAATGACTTGAACTTTCGAATCTTGGTGGAGATAAAGGAGCCCTCGTCCGATTCCAATTATAATGTCAAAACGCTTTTCCCATTCCAAGGAGAAGGGTCTGTTGCAATCTACAGACATTCAAACTCAATAGAAGCTTCAAGTGTTTGTTCCTTGCTGTTTTATATATATGACTCATGGAAGGAATCAATTCTGAAAGGCTAATATCTTTGTGCAGTGAAAAAAACCAATGAGAATTAAGAGGATCAAACCAAAAATAAAATTATCCAAGCTTTTATTCGTCATGTATTCGTAAATCAACATTCTTTCTTCTTTCTCGATGCAGCAGCCAAGAAGCCCAACAAGATTCTTGTGTTGAAGTCCGGCAATCGAAGCTGCTTCATTCATGAACTCTTCGCGACCTTGTCCTGAATTCTTTGACAACCTTTGTACTGCTATTTCTTGGTTTGTTGAAAGATTTCCCTGCATGATTAACTTTCACCGTATGCCATCTTCTGCTATAAACTATATTAATATCATGTTACCTTGTAGACTGAACCAAAGCCTCCTGATCCAATCATATTCGTCGGAGAGAAATTATTAGTAGCAGCAGCAATTGTATCCAACTCAAATAATGGAAGGTCAATGTCATCCTTTGCATGCCTCGAGTCTACAAACACAATTATTGAATATAACCGAACATGAAGAAATTGAACGAAGAAAAAAGAAAGAGAATTTGTAATGACCAGACAGTATACTTTCACTATGTGAAGGAAATTGCCGATTGTTTACCTCGTATTTTCGATACTCTCTTCCAGGTTAGTGTTACAGTCCAGAGGATAATACCCAGCAAGAGCAATCCAGAAATGGCTGAAGTCACTCCGATGGTCACCACCAGTCTTTTCCTTTTGGTGGGTATTTGGATCAAATCTGGAGTACCAAATGATAATTACTTTTAATATATCTAGTAAATATTATCACTATAAGCTGAGAAATATGTAATAGACAGCAACGTAAATCCAGTATTGGGGAGAAGTCCCTATGAAACGGCTGGTAGACAGCAAAATAAAAAAGCAATAGCAGTTATGAAATTCATGTACATAATTGTGAAGCAGATAGACGTATATGTAAGTCTTGCTCATAGACGGCATCTTCAAATTCACTGGTATCCATTAGGTCCCCGAACCACATTAGACAACCGCTCCCTCCTCCTCTGACATCTGAATTAGCATAAGCTGTACAAGAGCAGTTCTTTAAGCACCTGACCCTGCATTCCGCAAGGCTTATATTCTCGTCTAGCCAGAAGTCTATCAGATCAGGTAGTTTCACCCTCGAAAGCTTGAAAAATTCTTCTCCTTTCGAACAATTTACAGACACTTTCCTCACACAACCGCCTGACCAATCGAGCATTTGCCACTGCTCTGGTACCTTTGGTACGAAACCCCGCAAGCAATCACATCTCGAATATATGTTGCTTCTGCAAAAACCATTGGCTCCACATAGCGCATAGTTTTCACATGGATCAATGGGGTGCGAGTACATGACAGTCCAACTGACACCTCCTTTCTTCCTCGCCAGACGCTGCAACAAACCTGACTCATTCAAGACGATTCTGGTGAGGATCCCATCCTTTAAATGGTCATACTCAAAATACACATCCGTCTGGTTATAAACAAAGATTTGCCGCGAAATGGGATTCACTCCGATGGAGAGACCGCTGAATTGGATGCCATTCCACGAACCACTCCGAAATTTCATGACCGAAGCATTGTTGAATACTTCAAATTGGGGCAACCCATGAATCCTTAACCTGAAGGTATACTCTCCAGGGGACGGATCATCCCTGCTTTTCCAAGAGGTCAGGTACTTTTCAGTACCGGTTCTGAAGTCCCATCCAAGTTTCATACTGGACAGAAGGGTGTCTGATGGATGGTCAAAGCTCTGCCATGAATAGTCTTCAGAACTCGAACTGGCATCCTCTCTGAGAACAAGATTCCCAGACTCCAAGAGCTGTGCAACCGGATTTCTTAGAACCACGGATGAATACGAAGACCAAATGACACTTTTTGATTGGTTGAGAAGAATCAAATTCCCCTCATCGCTAAATGTGAGAACACCCCCTGAATCATTGAGCGGGTTGTCTCTATTAGCAACCCAGACAACTGTTTCAGGGGTCATCTTGTACCATATCCCCAAGAACCTGCTCTTGGAGCTTCCTGGGGAGAAGAAGCCAAGCTCAAAGCCTTGGCCTGAAGAGACCCGTGTCTCTCCATCGTTCATAGACTGGCCTGAGCTTAAAGTGTCGGCTCCAAATGACAAGCCCAAGAATGACAGGAAGATCATGAAAAAGCAAAAGGAGGACAAGAAAGGAGCTTTTTGCATTTTACGGAAGCTTTCCTCTGGTCTTCACCCTATCGTCCTCATAATTAACTCATGATCACTCTTTCCTTCTCTTCACGGACAAAAAACTTGAGAAATGAAGAAGGGGTAAGTCAGATGTGTGTCCATGTCGTTGCCCTCAAGATCATGGAGACTGGAGAGTCGGTTCTTGGAGCTTTACAAGAGGGAATGTGACCGGCGGCGCCAAGAAGTCTAGAGGCCAAGAAATTTACCGAAAAAAGTTCTAAATCGATTATAATTGTGCTAATTCAGTCCTAATTTTTTTTGTATCAATTGAGTCAAAAACCTTTTGTATTTGTGCCAATTCAATTCATGCGGTCAATTTTTGCCGACCTGATGTGGATAATTTTTAATAATATTTTTTTGAATTTTTGAATATTTTTTTCTTTTTTATTTTTTTATTTTTTTCCCTTCTTCTCGATCTAACGATCAGCCAGAGGAAAGGCCAGCAAGGTCCATCTGACCTTTCTTCTTTTGTATTTCTTGTGCAATTTGATGCTCCTCCAGTTCAGGTATTGCTCCATGGAAGATGTCAGCTTCGGCCACGGTGCTTCTTCTGCGCCTCTCGTCAATCTGAACCGTTGAAAAAGGAAATAATTTCAATAAATCAACAGTAGTCATACGCTCCTGGGGTTCTACTATCCTGTTATCAAGAAGCTGGATAATGTCTCTTACAATAGAAAATATATGTTTTTTAATAGAAAATATATGTTGGTAACTTAATTATTCTTGTGGGTAATAATTCACTTGTCGTCAGACAATAATCTATTTTTACTATTAATATAGTTATAAGTACATAATATGAGAATGTTAGCACTTCATAATTAGTCTGTAATTATCATAAGTGATGGTACGTATGCTTACTAATTACCCTCAATGATGGTAATTCATTAGTAATCATACCAAACATTAAGCAATTATATTCTGTTAACTATCAAGTTATTAACAATGTGTTATCAAGATAACGTAAGTATTATAACATAAATTACTTAATTATCAATTATTAATAATTTGTTAATAATGTAACATGTGATTCTGTCAAAATAAATAGAATCGGTGTTATCATCATATAAATAATACAAATATATTTAGTTATAATTAATATAAGTTTTAATTCCAATTGATAATCTAACGTGGGTAGAGTGAGTGAGAAAAAAGAGATGAACATTTTAACAATAGTTGTTACTATCATGTTGTAATAGCTATCAGACAAGAGGGATCATGTTATAGTTATTACTATTTAGATTGTCATAGGGATTACGTTGTAATAGTTAGGAAAAAAATCACTAAAAAATCTAAATTTTACCTATTGTGACACATTTGTCCTAATCTAGTTTTTGTGATACAAAAAATTTCAAATTTATACTCGTGTGACACATTTATCCCAAACTTTTTTTTTGTGACATAAAGGGGAGGAATCTTAATTTCCGTCATTTTCTTAGTCACATGAAGGATTTTTAATTTCCATCATTTTATTTCCATTAAAGTAATTGGTGATCCCTCCTTTACTGAATATTCGAATTGAGTTTTGAATTAAGTAAAATCTCTAAGTCAAAATGAATCAATCCTGTCAAACCTGTCTATTCTCATTGAATATTGGAGATCTTAATTTTCAGAACTTGACTACAACCATGTCGTAACGGTTCTAGAAAAAAGGATGCACATTTCAGTTTGACCTGAGACCCCATGTTTGTTGATCATGTCTGTATAATCATACTGGTCTCTTCTTCATTAAGTCGTGATAACACTGTGCAATGTGTTTTTATTGAATCGAAATAATTCAATGCTACGAATCATCAACATCTAGCTCATAGGCCAGGCTTCCACTTTTTTCTCTGGTTAAATTGGTGCTTGAGGTGCAAATCATGCTGCTTTTTTTTTTTTGGTCGGAAAATTAAATATATCATTCACTAAGAAAGGATAGTAGGACCCGATAAGTGGGCATAAGTACATAAGAGCTCCCAAAGTGCTTGGGGAGGGGAGAAGACCCAATTCAAAGGTAGGTAGTTTTTTTTGTGGGCTTTAGCAACCCAGTTCGCTACAAAGTTGGCCTCTCTATAACAATGAATAACCCGGATACTAGACAAGGATCGTAGCAGGTCTTTGCATTTCAAGATAAGCGCGTGAACTTCCCAACTAAGTTGATCTGGACTCTCTAAGGCATTGACTAAGTCCAAACTGTCAGACTCAAGTACAAGGACTTCATGTCGTTTGGGAAAGAAGTGAGTTAGGGCTTCTAACAAAGTGAGAGACTCAGCCATCAGCGGGGACGGCGTTGCCACCGTACGAGCTGCTCCGTCCAGCAACCTCCCGACGGAATCACGGCAAACGCAGGCGACCGAACCTTCCGAAGCTCCATGTTCGTATGCTCCGTCTATGTTTATCTTATAAGTTCCATATAGCGGTGGATTCCAAGTCCCTGAAAAATTGTCGGCTTTGTTCCCAGACCTGCTTGATTTGGGGTTCAATCTGTTAAAGCTCTTCAACCCAGCTAGAACAGAGTCGATGAGGCAGATTGTGTCGGGTTTTCTGTTCTTGAAGATGGCTTGGTTGCGCTTCTTCCATATATTCCATAGTGTTGCAGAAACCAGCTCTAGATTAGGTGAGTTGCTTGACTTTCCTTTCAAATTCCCGAACCAATCTTCAATTCGAGTAAGACCCTGACTTGATATATGAACATTTAGCACAGGGTTCGACCAAATTTCCTTCGTCCAAGGACATAATAAAAAAGGCAAAAGTACACCAGAAGTGCCACAACTTGTGTACGGCGATCACTTTGGTGCCATAATTTTTTTTTGGATCACTTTAGTGCCAATCTGGAGGAAAATAGATTACTTTAGTGACTCCGGCCAAAATTCCGGCTAAAAAGCTGACCTGGCATTTATATTAAAAAAAATGGTCTGACTTGTATACGTGGAAATTATGTGGCTTTTTTTCGAATTTTTTAATTTTTAGAAAAACAATAAAAATTAAAATAATTTTTTTAAAAAAAAAGAAGAAGCCTGCAGCAGCGGCGAGGGAGCCCTCGCCGCTGCTGCCGCCAACTCACCACCGCTGGGAAGGGCCGGCGGTGGTGGGCGCAGTGGTTGGCGAGGGCCGGATCCGGCGAGGCAAGACCTTGTCATCGCCTGGGTAGCGACGGCGAGGTCTCACCTTGCCGGATCCGGCCCTCGCTGGGCTCGGTGAGGTCTCGCCTCGCCCAGCGAAGGTGAGGTCTCGCCAGGGCCGGATCCGGCGAGGCCAGACCTCACCGTTGCCTGGGTCGCGACAGCGAGGTCTCGCCTCGCCGGATTTGGCCCTCGCCGACCACTGCGCCCACCACCGCCGGCCCTTCCTGGCGGTGGTGGGTTGGCGGCAGCAGTGGCGAGGGCTCCCTCGCCGCTGCTGCAGGCTTCTTCTTCTTCTTATTCTTCTTTTTTAATATTTATTTATTTTATTTATTTAATATAATTTAATTTTTTTTAAAAAAAGTACACGTTAGCGGGCTAAACGGCATCGTTTTTGGTTTTTAATGCTGACTGGACCTCTCCGGCGAGCCGTGTCGGCGCCACATCGGATTTCCGGCGAGCCACGTCAGCATTGGCACTAAAATGATCGTTTTTCAAAAAAGTTGGCATCAAAGTGATCCGAAAAAAAGTTATGGCACCAAAGTGATCGCCGTACACAAGTTATGACACTTCTATTGTACTTTTGCCCAATAAAAACAGGTGCTCCACAGTTTCCACGCCTCGATTGCATAAAGAACATGTGGGATCAAGTATAACTTTTCTTCGAAATAAATTCTCTTTAGTTGGGAGACAATTCTGGCATAAATTCCACATGAAAATTCTAACCTTGGGTGGAGAGTGCAATTTCCATATATCTGTCCAGAGGGTGGGAGGAGGTTGAAAAGTAGTTGAGGCTTGATTTTCATTCTGTTTATTTGCTTTCTCTTGAATGTAGTTGTATCCACTTTTAACTGTGTACTTGCCTGCTTGAGTTCCAGTCCATACAAGCCGGTCTTTCTCTGTTTGGGGTTTAATCGGGATAGCAAGGATTTCTCTCACTAATTGATCCTCAAAATGTTCAGTTAAAACTATTTCATCCCATATGCCTGCCTCACTAATAATGAGTTCAGAGACAAAACGTGGTTCATCTCTATTAGCAGGACCTCCTATGATTCCCCTCTTCCGCCATTTATCTTCCCTGATTCTTATCTGTGAACCATCCCTTACTGCCCACAGCACTTGGGGTGAGATGGAGTCTCTTCCTAGGATTAGACTTTGCCAACCCCATGAGGGGCGTTGTCCCTTTTCCGCATGCCAGAAATCTCTATGAGGAAAATAAAGGCCCTTAAATAGAATGCTCCAGAGAGAGTTTAGACTGTTACTCAGACGCCAAGCTTGCTTTCCTAACATTGCTTTATTGAAGGAGGGCAAATCTCTAAATCCCAGGCCACCCTTATTCTTTCTTGTCTTCAGAATATCCCATCTCTTCCAGTGAATTCCGGCTTTGGTCTCATTGGTTTTCCACCAAAATGAAGCAATTTTCTGTTCAATAGCCTTACAAATAGAAATCGGGATCTTAAAAAGAGACACGGCATATTGTGTTAATGCTTGAACCACTGCTTTAAGTAAAACTTCTTTACCACCTTTTGACATTAGTTTTTCCTTCCACCCTTCTAGTTTGGAATTGACTCGTCCTAAAATCTAAGCAAACATTTGTTTTTTCGATACTCCCCAATCCGAAAGAATTCCAAGATATTTGCTAGTTTTGTCAATAACAGGAACTCTCAATTTCCTTGCCATATTGTCTTTCAGAGTTTGGGGGCAATCACTACCAAAGAAAATCCCCGATTTGTTTAAGTTTATAGCTTGTCCATATGCTAGGCAATATTGATTCAGGATAGATACCAAATTCTGACACTCTAGAATTGTACCATTCAAGAAGAATATTGAGTCATCCGCAAAGAGTAAATGAGAAAGGGTGGGACACCACCTGTTCAGTTTAATCCCTGTGATACTTCCATTGTCCACAGCTGTCTTCATTAATGAGGACAGTACATTTGCCACCAGAATGAAAAGGTAGGGAGATAGGGGATCCCCTTGCCTAATCCCTCGAGAAGGTTTGAAGTAATGGAGAGGTTCTCCATTAAACTTAATGCTGAATGAAACTGTTGTGACACATTTCATAATCCATCCCACCCATTTCTCATCAAAGCCAATCTTGATTAGGCATGCTTCCAAAAAATCCCATTCCACTTGATCGTGGGCTTTCTTCATGTCTAACTTGAGAACCGCTTGAAATTTCTTTCTTCTCTTTCGAATTCTAATTTGATGCAACACCTCCTGGACAATAAAGATGTTATCTTGAATTTGTCTCCCGCCGACGAAAGCACTTTGTTCCATTGCAACAAGTTCTGGTAGAAGTGGTTTGAGTCTATTAGCCAGCACTTTTGAGATAAACTTGTAGCCAAAATTACATAAACTAATTGGGCGGTATTGATCTAGTCTCTCTGGATTCGGGACTTTCGGGATAAGGGAGATGTGTGTTTTATTTAAATCTGGTGGCAGGGATTCAGTGTTGAAGAAATTCCTCACCTCCTTTAGAATATCCCATTTAATCTCTTCCCAATTCTGCTGATAAAACAAATCACTAAGGCCATCAGGCCCCGGTGCTTTTGCTGCGCCGAGCTGGAAAGTTGCATTCGTTACTTCTTCCAAGGTTGCCTCAGCCAACAAGAGGTGATTCATCTCTTCTGTTACCAGTCGAGATACCTGATCCAGAACTGGGGAGAAATTTCGAGGGCCGATAGATTGATATAGATCTCGGAAAAAAAGTATAGTATGTTCTTTCAACTGGCATTGCTCAAATAGCCATGTATTCTCTAAATTCTGAAGCATAGAGATCCTATTCCTCTGTCACCTCTGAATGGTAGTTGCATGAAAAAAATTTGTGTTTCTATCTCCCCATTTCAACCAATTAATTCTCGATCGCAGCCCCCAATACATCTCTTCCTACCTCCATAAATAATCAATATCTTCTTGTAGGTTTTTGATTCTCACTTTGTCAAAGGACCCCATGGTATTGTTTGTCAGCCACTGTAGTTCCTGTTTCAGCAAGTTGATTTCCCTATGTCCATTCGCGAATTTCTTCTTACTTCATTTGGAAAGAGCAAAAGTTATGGCCTGCAACTTCCCGACTAAATCCTTTTCAAAGTGAGTGGGAGAGCTCCAAGTTTCTTTCACCACCTTTCTACATTCATCACTCTCAAGCCAGAAGACTTCAAACTTGAATTCCTTTTTTCATTTTACAGGGTTAGCCCAAAGAGATAGAAGTATAGGACTGTGATCTGATCCTATTGCTGGGAGAGCATAAGCTTCCGCTTCAGGGAGCATCAACCTCCATTCAATCGTACATACCACCCTGTCAAGTCGTTCTTTAACGTACTCGTCCCCTTCTCTATTATTGGCCCAAGTGAATGCACACCCTTTACTGTCAATGTCCATCAATGAACAAGCATCTAGACAATCCCGAAAAGCATTCATTCTATAGTTTTCAGCCAAGCGCTTTCCAACTTTTTCCCAGTAAAACCGCACCTCGTTAAAGTCACCCAAACACACCCAAGGCAGTACATTCATGGAACTTATATTTCGCAATTCCTCCCAAAGTTGTAGCCTTTTTTGATACAAATAAGAAGCATGAACAAATGTAACTCTCATTTCCTTTCCACTAACCACCTCTTTACACCTCAAATTTGCAAATTCCTTAGACATTGAGTCTATTTCCAGTGAAATTCTTTCATCCCACATAATAGCCAAGCCTCCCGCCGTGCCCACAGGATTAACTACAAAACAACTTTGAAAATGGAGTCTTCTCTTTATTCTCTGAATAACCTCAGCCTGATTTTTCGTTTCCATCAGAAAAACCACAGTGGGCCTAAAGCAAGCCACTAAAGCTCTTAATTCTCAGACTGTCAAGGGTGTGCCCAACCCTTGACAGTTCCAGCATAGTATATTCATGGTTCACTTGGTGGCTTATTAGGGCTAGCCACCAAAGCCCATGCAGCGACTTCTTCAGTCGTACGAACAGGTGTTTCAAGAAGTTGAGTTTCATCCAGCCCGATTCGTAGCAGCACCTTACAACTATGATTTCCAAGGACGAATCAGTAATGTCATCCCCAGGTTGCGGTTTTCACGTAATGCTATGTCTGCATAATTTCTGGCTACTTTATTTTATACAAGCAAATTTTACTTCCCTTCGATGTTCCTTATCTTGGATTCACATTTAATACTATCACATTAAGCTGAAATATACCGGAAAAATTACCAAAAAAATCCTAAAACTATCACGCTTATGCTAATTTTGTCTTAAAATCTTTCAACTTGGCAAACTTAGTCATAAAACTTTTGACAATTTGCCAATATAGTCTATCCGGCCAATTTTGGCCAAAAATTGATGAATATTAGAACACCATTTGAATCAGTTGGTTGATTGGTCTTTAGCAACCCAAACAACTGTCTCAGGAGTGATCTTGCTTTAAAGCCCAAGTACCTGTTCTTGGAGCTTCCAGGAGAGAAGAAGCCAAGCTCAAATCTTTGGCCTGTAGAGACCAATGTCTCTCCATCTTTCATAGACTGGTCTGAACTCAGAGTATCAGCTCCAAATGACGACTCAACAATGACACAGATTATAAAACAATAAAAGCAGGTGACCAAAGGAGTTTTTTGCATTTGATTGAAGCCTTCAACCGATCTTATGTTGCTCCTCATAATTAAATCCATTTCTGTTTCAGATTAGGGAAGGCAACTGGTTCGGCTTTAGCAGAAAGTCTTTGGGGAAACGCGAAGCCCTTGAGCTTAAAGGGATTTGGTGATATGCAGTGACGTGCAAAGGCCTTTAGCAGAAAGTCCACCTTGCAGGTTCCCACAAGATCAAGAAGATTGACATTAAGAGCAGTGATGTGTACATTAAGACGAGTCATGCGTCAACTCATTCAAAATTTCTTCTTGTTCAGACGAAACCAAAGTCAGAGCAAGAATTTCTGCGTAATTTCCTTCTACGACTAACATTCACCTTCTTGTGACGTAGCAGTCAAAGTATGCAATTTCAGTTTGACCTGGATGGTTCCAAGATGGTTGACCATGTCCTATTATCACTCCAGTCTCTATTTTCTCAGAGTCCACTGTACAATGCGCTTTCATGCAATTGGATTTGTTGCAAGCGATATTGAATGCTACGAATGTACTGATGTCTTGCTCATTTGTCCGACTTCATGTGTGCTGGTTAAGTTTGTCTTTGAGTCATGCAAATTTTGGAATGGTTATTACAATGATTTCCAAGGAAGAAAGAACAATGTCCTTCGTACAGTAGAGTCTTCATGTGATGTTATGTCTGCATAGATCCCAGCTAGTCTGTTTTTATTACAAACAAGGTTGTTGCCCTTCCAGATTCAGAGTTTCCATATTTTTGTCAACAGTTCTTTCTCCTATATTCGTATTTAATCCTGTCCCATTCAGTTCAAAATCAGCAGCAGAAGCTCTATAGCTTGGGAATAAATCCCCAGAGGCTAACAAAATCAAAGAAATTGACCCATCAGAAGAAAGAACATTACTATCATATACTTCTACTTGATTGCCCAAAATAGTTGCGGTGGTGACTTCGCATGTAGATCTTTTCTGTTCCCTTTACCACTAACTATCTCTTACAAAAGCAATCCAGATCCACATTCATCAGATTTCACGCAAAATTTCCCATTAAAGGCATATGCTGGTGGCATAGCCACTATCGAACAATCATGTCTCGAAACTGTCCTAAAGTCGACCAGCGAGCATCTAAGAAACATATTATTTGTACTTATCGGTTCTGCTTCTTTCTCGTTGCCATTCCTATGTCTGAAATTTTAAGATTTAGAATAGCGCCCAAAAAGTATATTGCTTGTTTTCAGGTCCTTGTGAATGACTTGAAGTTTTGACTCTTGGTGGAGATAGGGAAATCATGCAATTGCCGAGACAATTTCGCTTTTTTAAAGACAAGTGGGAGATCATCCTCCCGATGCTCTGTTCTTCAATTTAGCTCCTCACACCTGTCTCAAGCATGAAAGTTGCACATGGAAAAGTATGTCTTGGAAAAAAAATCAATTTACCCGGCACTATGCTCTTATTCCACAGGCTAGTCCCTGGTTACCACGGAGTTCACCACAGCACAAATAACAGAAGAAATGAAAAATTTCTAATCGTTATCATTCTGTGGGGCTCAGTCTGCTTCTACCTTTGCTGCACATGCTGGAAATACGCACATCGGAAGATCGTACCAATAATTAACACTATCATGTACTACATTTTCAACACTCAACTGAATGAAGCCAGGTCTAGTGGGATGCTTGAAAACTTCAAGTCTTTTGATCAAACATTTGCGATAGATATCATCTGTCCATAAACTTATAAGAACCCATTAGATTCTATCCTCAGCCACAGACAGGTACAAACCTCATTGTGCCAAGACGTCCCTGCGGCTATTGATATCCTCAGGTGCCATCCTATGTGTTCTGAATTTAAGTGCTAGAATTTCCCTGCTAAAACCACTCGGGAGAGAAAGGAGCCGGACAACATTCCAATCACTGGTATCTCTATCGACCTTCTGGCATTGTTATGGTGATGAGATTGTCTGTATAGAGTTCTCTCGGTGAAGTTGCACCTGAGTTTGTTGGACTTCTTTCCATGAAGAAACCGGGCGGTTTAGGGTGTGGCAATATTGCTTCTTCATTTGCTAACATGAAAACCACGGAAGACATTGATGGCCTATCACCAGGAAATTTTTGGACACATAACAAACCCACATGTATGCATCTCTCTACTTGAGATATAATGGAGGAGTCAGCTAAAGAATCATCCAGAAGCTCCGATGCCCTGCGTTCATTCCAAAGCAGCCATGCCTGGAACAAAGTAGCTGATCAACAAATTGCTCGATCGCCCATGACAATAGAATTGAAATGCAATCTCAGATTACCAGCTTATCAAAGTAAATTTTATATTTCAGGCAGCACTACTGGCTACCCGCTTTAACTTACATGTCCAAGAAGGTTGTGGTGGTGGCTTGGATGGTAGAATCCTCTGTTCCTTTTCCCACTAACTATCTCCAATAAGAGCACTCCAAAGCTAAACACATCAGATTTAACAGAGAATTTTCCATCAAAGGCATACTCTGGGGACATGTATCCACTGCATTAAGAAAATCATATCTCAATTAGCCCATCTATTCGATCTCATTAACTTTTGAACACATGAACTAAGATAATCAACTTACTAAGTTCCGATTATTCTTCTTGTTCTTGCTTCTTTTGCATCACCTCCAAAAATTCTTGCTAATCCGAAATCGGAAATTTTGGGATTTAGGTTGGCATCCAGTAAAATGTTGCTTGTTTTAAGGTCTCTATGAACGACTTGTAGCTTTGAATCTTGGTGGAGATAAAGGATTCCGCGTCCAATTCCAATAATAATCTCAAAGCGCCTATCCCATGCCAACGAGAAGCGTTTGTCGTGATCTGTGGACATTCAACAACCCCATAGAAAATTCAAGTGTTCGATATCTTGCACGGATATATGCACCACATAGTTATAAGACTTATGAGAGGTATCAATCTATAGAAACTAATCACATGTGAATGGAAAAACCAAGAAGAATTAAGAGGCACGGACCAAAGATAAAGTTATTCAAGCTTTTATTTGGCATGTATTCGTAAATCAACATTCTTTCGTCTCTGTCAATGCAGCAGCCAAGAAGGCTGACGAGATTCCTGTGTTGAAGTTTGGCAATCAAGGCTACTTCATTCCTAAACTCTTCAAGTCCTTGCCCAGAATCCTTCGACAACCTTTTCACTGCTATCTCTTGGTCTGTGGAAAGATTTCCCTGCATAATTGGCTTTCAGAATAGGCCATCTTCTTGTATAAACTTAATTTAATGTCGCATGGATCATGTTACCTTGTAGACTGAACCAAAGCCTCCAGCTCCAATCAAATTTCTTGGAGAGAAATTGTTAGTAGCAGCAGTAATGGTATCAAGATCGAAAAGTGGTAAGTCAATTTCATTCCTCAAGCCTAGTAACAAAATTATTGCCATCAGTAGACCTTATATAATTGAAAGAAATAAACTGGCTCATTTTGCTGCTACATGCTGTTGTACCTCCTATTTTCATTCCTCTCTTCCAGATTGTAATCCCAAGGGCAATGCCCAGCAATAGCAATCCAGATATGGCTGAAGCTACAGTGGTGATGACCAGCTTTCTCTTCTTGGCGGTATCACGAAAGGAATCTGCAATAGCAAAGGATAATGACTTCAAATATCTTCAATTAATATCCTGTAGCATAAGCTGAGCAACCCAAATTTCTATTTTGGCCTGTTAAAATCAGTACTCGACAAGCTCTAATAAAATGAGAAGTACGTATTTGTGCCTCACATGACATTAGGAGGAAAACACATCAAAGCAATAGCTCAACCAGTTATGAGATTCACGTACCTAATTCTGATGCTGATAGACGTATATGTAGATCTTGCTCATAAGAAGCATCTTCGAAGTCACTAACATCAATTAGTTCCGCGAACCACATGAGGCACCCACTCCCTCCTCCTCTAATATCTGAATTAGCAAAAGCAGTACAAGAACAATTCTTTAAGCACTCAACCTTGCATTCCTCGAGGCTCATGCTCTCGTTCAACGAGTAGTCAACCAGATCAGGTAGCTTCACCCTTGAAAGTTTGAAAAACCCTTCTCCTTTAGAACAATTCACGGGCACCTTCCTCATGCAGCCACCAGAAAAATAAAGCATTTGCCACTCTTCCGGTGACTTGGGTGTGAAACCCTGCAAGCACTCGCATCTTGAGTATCTGTTACTTCTGCAGAAACCATTAGCTCCGCATAAACCGTAGTTGTCACATGGATCACTGGGAATCGTGTACATGACAGTCCAACTAGCACTTTCTTTCGGCCTCACAAGTCGTTGTAATGACCCGGACTCATTCAGACTAACTCTGGTGATAATTCCATCATTCAGAGCTTGATAAGCGAAATAGACATCCGTCTGGTTGTCAACCAACATTTGTCTCGAGATGGAATTCGCTGCCACTGAGAGACCGCTGAACTGGACTCCATTCCACATGCCACTACGATATGTCTTTGTCGAACCATTCCTGAATATTACAATCTGTGGCAGCCCTTGATCGGTTAATGTACTGGTGTAGTCGCTAGGGGAAGGGTCATCCACGCTTTTCCACGCGGTCAGATACCATTTAAACCCGGTTCTCAAGTTCAACCCCAGTTTCATATCGGCCAAAAGCGTGTTGCACGGGTAATCAAAGCTTTGCCACGAATAGGCGTCACTGGGATTTGAACTGATGTTATCCCAAAGAACAAGGTTTCCAGACTCCAGGAGCCGTGCAACAGGATTGGTTAGAACCCCAGACGAATTTGAAGACCAAACAACACTCTTCGATTGGTTCAGAAGAACTAGATTACCCTCATGGCCAAACGTGAGAACACCACTCAAATCAGCTAGCGGGTTGTCTCTATTAGCTACCCAAACTACTGTTTCAGGAGTGATCTTGTACCATATCCCCAAGTACCTGTTCTCGGAACTTCTAGGAGAGAAGAAGCCAAGCTCAAAGCTTTGGCCTGAAGAAACCAATGTCTCTCCATCTTTCATAGACTGGCCGGAACTCAAGGAGTCAGCTCCATAAGACAAGCCCCCCACAAATGACACAAAGATGATAGAACAGTAAAAGCAAGTAGAGAAAGGAGCTACTTGCATTTTGTTGAAGCCTCCCACCTATCTTCTCCTGCTTTTCCTCGTATTTTGTATATTAAGCCAGAGGAGGAAGATGGGTGTAAAGTCCAAGCCGAACGCTGGCACAGATCAAGAAGACTGAAATGTCAAACTGAGGTTCTCGGAATTATGTAATAGTGGGGGTTTGACCTTGTCAAAAAAAAAAAAGTTTCTCAAGAGACCGAGACATGAAAAGGAAAGGGAAGTCGTGAGTTTAGAGGAAAAAGAGAGGAAGGAAGGGAAAAAAAAAAGAGAGAAGAAAATTCTTTCGGACAAGCCGGATTGACTACGTTTTGCAGCGTCTCGTAACTATTCAAGCCCGTAATTCATATAATCGGTATAAATTTCGGAGTTAGACCATATTTTTGAAGATATATAATTTTTAACTGTGAGATTCGATTGAGCAGCTGTCGAGCTGTGGATATATATGAAAATGATAATTTAGAAGGTTGTGGAGTTATAGGATTTGATAGAAATTGATTCCGGAGTACGGTTTGACTAGACCAAAATTTTGAAGTTTCGCGCTTACGTTCTGCGTGACGGATAACTTTGAATATCCGTTTCCGACAAGAGTTTTGTTGACGCATGGGAGTTGTTTTGTTAACAAATAAGCTTGGTTTAATCGGTAGTTAAGGTAGCGTTTTACTCGATTTTGATGATGTTTCTCGCTTAATTGATGGGATTGCAAGTTCGATAATTCGAGTAACTTTCATAGTTTGATTGTAGGCGTTTCAGAGTGAGTGGTGCTTAGCTTTTCTTCGAGTTTTCAAAAGTGTTATAATATGAGTTATAAAATGGCATTTTATTGCATAAATATCTGGATCGATCATTTACTACTATTTGGTTATTTGTGAATAATTTTAGAAACGTATTATGAAAGGTATTGTGAAAATTTATATATATATATATATATATATATATATATATATTATTTTTAGGAATCTAGATTATAAAATGAGTTCCGAAATGCTTTACGAAAAATATTTCTAGCAAATGAGCTGAGTTGCGAAAGATATGTTTGATTTGTGAAATGAATTCTGGTTTATGAGATCGAGTCTGGATAAGATTTCTCGTAATGGGGATGGTTTGATGCTTGATATCGCCGTGAACCCGATTAGGGGTTTCCGGCTATGCATACTAGTTTGAGGATGTCCTTTGTGGCCAAGTCATCAACTGATAATAGGTGGAGATCTTGTCAAGGCAGAATCTTGATCACCTTGTCAACAGGTGTTGTGTCATGACCGTGAATTAATATTGAGCAATAGATTCGTTGATGGAATAGATCATTGACGTGTATTTTATTATGATATTGATCAATTGATTGGACTATTGATATTTGTTAGGATATTATGGGTTTAATGAATGTTTCTGATATTTATATGATTGTGTTAAAGCAATATAACTCATTCTGATCTTCTATGTGTATTATATACTGGATTTGAGATATTGAGTTATGGTATTGTTTTGTAAAAGTGCATAGTAGATACTTGATTTGCTTAAAAGAGATGTACTACTTACTCACTGAGCCATGATTGCTCATTACATTCATCTTAAATGCTTCAGGTGCCTTGGTTAGCGGTCAATAGAATGTAAGTGTTTGCGTTATCGCGAGGGCATTTTGATAGTGGGATTATTAGGTATGAACTTAGTTAGTTGTATATTTCAGAGGTGTATATGATAGGGATGAATTTGTTGGGTTTAGTTGTTGGTTAGAGATGTACATATTCTTTTGATAGATTATAGAAAATTTAATATTATAACTAGAGGTGTTAATATGGATCACTAACCCATTTATTAACTCAGGTTTAGTGGGCCCAGATTGAATATGGGTCACTTAAAATTTTTAAAATTGGTCAAACTGAGTTTGAAACATTAAAGCCTAGGTTTACATGGGTTTGCAACAAACCTCTGTTCAACCCATATAGACCCATTTAAGTAATTAACTTTTTTTTGGGGCAAATATAATTTATTAACTTAAACTACCAGTCGCCGGTTTCCACCCATGATCGCTGCTCACTGCTCACCGCCGGTCTTCGATGGCCGTCGATCGCTGTCACTGTCGGTCTTTGCTATCACCGGTTGTTAATCATTGCCATCTCTGGTCGTTGCCGATCATCGGTCACCACCGTCTCCAGTCATCAGTTGTCATTGGCCGCTGGTCATTGTCGGTCGCCGGTCGCTTATCTCCACCGTAGCTAGCCGTTGATCGGCCCCTCACCGGATTTAGTAGAAAAAAAAAAGAAAAAAAAGAGAAAGAAAAAAGAAAATATAAAAAACAAAAAATTCAAAAACTGGAAAAAAAATTATAGAAATGGTAAACTAGCATAAATTTTTAAAAAATCATAAGAAACAAGTTTTTATATATTTTGTTAAATATGAAAATGTTTTAGCAATACTGGTAGGTCGAGTATGCATTGGGTCGGGTACGGGTCGAGAAGTTTGCATTGAACTAAATGGTTCATAAACGGGTTAAATGGGTCAATTTAGATTGGATCATTTATGATCCGACCAATTCATTTGATAGGTCTAATTATAACAAATCGGTTTAATATATATATAAAACAAACCGGTCAATTGATAATATGTTTTATGATTGAGTAAATCCATGCCCGTTGGCAGATTTTGATTGGGGTTACCTTATACAGATCATAATCTTGAATTATAATTGATATATAGACCCAACAAGATACGTTGGGGTGTGTTCTTTTCTTCTTCAACATAAAAGTAGCACAACAAAGACATAATAGGGCAGCGCTTGTTTAAGCCGTACAGGGGACTCCTCCTTGGACGCACAACAAAGACATAAGAAGGATTAACAACGAGCCGAGGAGAGGTCTCCTCCTTGGACGCACGAAAGAGAGCAAGGCGCTCGGAAATTACTTTGTAATGTGACTTTTATGTCCAATTGAGCTGTTTATTTATAAATACTTTGAGTTTGGATGTAATTTAGGTGTGAAAAGTACGTTAGCGTATGAGCGATTATAACTCTGGTTCTCTGATTATTAATAAATTAGTTGTTGCTGGCTTTTCCGTAGAGTAGGCATCGACATTTGAATCGAATCATGTAAATTTTTAATGTCATTTATCGTTCCTTGTTTAATTTCGTGATGATTTAGTTGCAAGAACGTGTATATTTCCGCGTTAATTGTTCAACGTTAACAAAGCTAAAGTCAATAGACTTGAGTGATGATGGACACGTTAAATTTGACTTCAAAGATCAACTCATTCAATAATTTTGTACCTCGCTCAGTGTTTGACACGCGGTAAGTCATGTATACTACAGTTATGATGGCTTGGGCCAGGTCAGGTGTTCAACCGTGTTCTTTTGACAGCCCTGCCTCACTGTAATATACATTGATTTACCACGTGTTCCTTCGTACCATCGAGATCATAGAAACGGCCTCTAGCTGAACTGTGACTTTGAAAGTACGTCAAAAGACGTGTACAAAACAAAATAGTCAAGAATCATGTTTTAGATATCAGTCATCATCCGATCTTTTTGTCGTTAGACTGGGCAATAAATTAGTCTGAAAGTCCCACATTGTTTTGCATGTTATTCCTTTTCTCTTTCTTGGATCACAAATCATTGCTTTGTTTATGGACGGTCGAAATGGAACATTGCCATTGGGGCCTATTTCGCACATGTTGCCATTATGGGGCTCTTCAGCTGGACATGATAATAAAGTCAGGACAATAGAATTTGTTGCTCTTATTATTTTGATTGATGGCCTGATAGTGTGGTTGGACTCGTTCTATTAAGACCAAGCAACATATACTCGACACTTTAGAGTTACTAACGCCGTTTACCGGGGCTAACATTCAAAAGCTTATAACATTTCTCCTTCCGACCTTCCAGCACCGGGGTAGGTGTCAGACTCCATACATCGTGTTACCACTTAGCAGAGTCTTGTGTTTTTAATAAAACAGTCGCTACCCCCTGGTATGTGCCGCTTTCCTAATCAAAAGATAGGCGAGCACCCCTTCTCCCGAAGTTATGAGATCATTTTGCCGAGTTCCTAAGGCAGTATATATAACCACTACTCATATAGAAGGTTAGAGGGTCGATTTTATTTATCTCTATGAACAATCATTGGCAATGAATTTTAGTAAAAAGGCCTTCACCAAGTTGCTTGAGCCACTGAATCATAAAAACGATAATCCTTTACTGTAGCCCTCATCTCGCGCTAAACAGTCCAATATCGGCAAGGAAGCCACAGATTCGTGTACACAAATATCGCGTTTCACGGAAGACGCAACTGCAATCCATGCCTTAAGAACCTTTTCAGATTGTTTTTAGCATTGTTATCTAAAATTTGAGAACATGATGAAGAGTGTAGGTCACTGCACCGTTCACTCATCGAAGTGCTTAGTTATAGTGATTGGAGACCATCTTCTGATCCTTTTACCTTCATGCACCGAGAAAGCTTGACTAGATTCTGCACTGCAGGCAACATCCTCGACCGGATGTTCATCGACCTTCCGGCATTGTGATTGTGACGATATTCCTTGTGTACAATTTTTCCATTATTAAAGATGTCTCTGTGCTCGATGGAGCTCTCTCCATGAAGAACCCGGGCTGTTTAGGCTGTGGCAAGATTGCTTCCTCATTCGCTAACATGAAAACGACTGAGGACATTGTTGGCCCATCTCCGGAAACTTTTGGATGCATAGCAAAGCAACATGAATGCATCTCTCTACTTGGGATGCGATGAAGGAGTCGCATAGAGATTCATTCAGAAGCTCCAAGGACCTCCCTGTGCTCCACAGCAACCATGCCTAGGACAAATCCATTCATGTCATTAAACATCATATAAAAGACATGAGATTATATAACCATACTGTACTTACATGCCCAAGAAGGTTGTGTTGATGATCAGGATGGCAGAACCCTCTGTTCCTTTTGTTACTTGCTATCTCTAGCAAAATCACACCAAGGCTAAAAACATCGGATTTCACAGAGAATTTTCCATCAAAAGCATATTCCGGGGACATATAGCCACTGCATTAAGAATATTGCACACTTAAATCTACCCGATGTTCATGAACAGTTGCTCGTTGATCAAGATGAGAAACTTACTAGGTACCAATGATTCTTCTCGTTCTCGCTTCTCTTACATCGCCTCCAAAGATTCTTGTGAGGCCAAAGTCTGAGATTTCAGGATTGAGATCAGCATCTAACGATATATTGCTTGTTTTGAGATCTCTGTGAATGACTTCTAGTTTTGAATCTTGGTGAAGATAGAGAAGTCCTCTTGCAATTCCTAGAACTGTCAAAGCGACTTTTCCACGCTAACAAGAAGCTTCTGTTATCATCTGCACATGTTCAACCCAGTGTTAGTCTTAACACTTCAGCTTGGCACTCTAAAGAAAATGAGTTCATCAATTAGCGATTTGGCTGAATATCCATGCAGAGGCACAAATGACATACAGACTGATAGCATGGGGGTCTAGTGAAAAGGAAATGAAAAGGATCAATGAGCTTGAACCGAAAATGAAATAATCCAAGCTTTTATTTGGCATATACTCGTATATTAACATTCTTTCGTCTCCCTCGATGCAACAGCCAAGAAGCCCGACCAGATTTCTATGCTGAAGTCTGGCAATTAGGAGCACTTCATTCATAAACTCTTCCAGACCTTGTCATGAACTTTTGGACAGCCTCTTCACCGCTATTTCTTGACCCATGGAGAGATCTCCCTGCATTTTTTTTTTTCAATTGCATAAGCTTATCTGGTTCTTTAAACTCGCAAGTTTTCATAGATTAATTTACAAGCCAAAGCCACCCACTCCAATCATGTTGGTCTCTGAGAAATGTCCAGTAGCAACAGCAACGGTAGAAAAATCAAAGAATGGTAAATTGTCTGTAAATCATTGTCTTCCTTCTGACTTTGCAAGCCTACAAGGATGAACACTATCTATCACATGAAAGTAAAATTAGTTGGTCATGGTTTGACAACAGAATTTCAGCTCAAATCTTCACAGCAAATAGGGGACTGGATTACGAACAAGCTTACCTCTTCTTTTCATTCTGGTCTTCTTCATAATACTCAATGCCAAACCAGCTATGAACAATCCAGAAATGACTGAAGCCACTATGACAGTCAACAGTCTTTTCTTATTGACAGATCTGTGGATGAAATCTAGAATAGCCAAGAAAAAGTGCGTTAACTAATCTCAGAAAATTTTATGATCATAAGCTGAAGAAGCAACCAAAAATAGTGCAGCAAAAGTATAAGCAAACTAGTAGTAAATAGTCTGGTGCAAGATCATGATTAATCCAGCATTACTTTGTACACAATTGAAACAAAAAAGCAAGATCATCGCAGCATAGAAAAGAGATTGCTAACTGAATCACTATGTACATATCTACCTAAATCAGAAGCAGGTAATCTTTTGTAAATATTTTGTTCGTTGTTGACTTGTTCAGATTCTCTTATATCAATGAGATCGCCGAACCACATCAAACAGCCACTCCCTCCTCCTCTAACATCTGAATTAGCATAAGCCATACAAGAACAGTTCTTTAGACAATCCACCTTGCACTCCGCAATGCTCATATTCTTGTTTACCAAGAAGTCTACCAGGTCTGGTAGCTTCAACATTGAAAGTTTTAGAAAGCCTTCTCCATGAGAGCAATTCAACTAAGCTTTCCTAATGCACCCACCGGTTGAATTCAGTACTTGCCACTCTTCTTGGGACTTGGGCATGAAACCTTGCAAGCACTGGTTTATAGGGTCTTTGTTACTTCTGCAGACACCATTAGCACCGCACTGTCCATAGTTATCACATGGATCACAGGGAAATGAGATCATAACATCCTATGTAGAGCTCCCTTTCTGCCTTAGAAAACGATGCACAAGACCAGACTGATTCAATCTGACTATGGTGATGATATCATCCCTTGAAGATTTAAAATCAAAATATACATCTGTTTCATTGTTAACAAATATTGGCCTGAAAAGGGTATTTTCACTCACCGGAGTTCCCATGAAATGGACTCCATTCCATGGCCCTGCTCGAAATATTATTGTGGAGCCTCTTTTGCGCAATTCATGTTGGGGCAACCCATTAACATTTATTCCATAGGTAAAGTCTCCAGAGGAAGGATCATCCGTGCTTTTCCAAGAAGTCAGATGCCATTCGAAACCGGTTTTGAGGCTCCATCCCACTTGCATACCAGCTAAAAGGGTGTCAGTTGGATAGTCTAAGCTCTGCCATGAGCATTCACCAGAATGTGAACTTGTAATCTCTGAAACGACAAGGTTACCAGAATCCAACAGCTGTGCAACTGGGTTTTCTAAAACCCTGGATGAATTGGAAGACCAGATGACCCTCTTTGATCGGTTGAGAACAACTAGATTCCTCTCATCACTAAATGTGAGAACACTATTTGAATCGGTGAGTGGTTTGTTTCTGTTGGCGACCCAAACGACTGTTTCAGGACTAAATTTGTGCCATATCCCCAAGTACCTGTACTTGGAGTTTTCTGGAGAGAAGAAGCCAAGCTCAAAGCTTTGGCCTGGAGAGACCAATGTCTCTCCATCTTTAAGGGACTGGCCTTAACTTAAGGTATCAGATGCGATCGAAAAGTTAGTGATATAAATATGACACACAGAGAGTGAAAAAGAGGCAAAAATGAAAGCTTTCCAATTTCCATAAAGCCCTCTGCCATTTTTCCCTTGATCCTCCTGGTCAGTGCCGGTTTTAAAAAACAAAAGATGCTTACCATGAATATCTAGCTGAAGTCTACCTTACAGAATGTTCTGCAATTTTAATAGAGCCGATCACCAGCAACTTCGAGTGGGATATGTAATCAAGGGTCATGAATGTACACTTGGTCGAGAGTTGTTGATTAGGAGACTTAAGATGTCTATTCACGCAATGCAAGAAAGTCATATCTCTCTCCTAACGACTGAGACGGGTTCACAACTGACAAATCTTCCCCAAGCAGGACTATTCGTTGTGTTGAACTAGCCCATGCTTGTAATTCAACACCTTCTAGAGGGAGCATTTAGGCTCTGTTTGGGAGATGAAGGAAAATGGAGGCGATGCAACTTTGGGTAGAAAATGGAGAAGAATTTAAAATTGTGAGAGAGGGTGGAGGGAATTTTGAATTTTCTTATACTCTCCACCCACATTTATTTCACCCCCACACTCCCAAACACAGCATTACTGGTTGATGACCAAACAAGCGTGAAATGCTCAAAAGAAAAGAGGAAGGGTTCTTCAATTTCCCTTGAACAAATTCGGCCAGCACATGTTCTACACGGAGCAGTAGTTTGAGCCGTGTTAGCCACCTTTGGTATATTAGTCTGAATACCTTTTTACGTCAATCGTCATTGCTTAATCCACTTAGCATATGTGCTCTGCGTACAGTAATGTAACAGTCGTTGTTATTGGAAAGATCATGACGCCAATGTTGACTTTTTAGTCAGACATGGTGCAACAGATTTAAAAGGCGTCATATTTACAAGTCTATGGAACACCAGCAGATAGAACCAAGCAGGTGAATGAAGTATGACTAACCCACTACGATCTGCTGATCTGGACTCTTCGGCGCATTGGTCTTTACAAGATAGGCATGGTTCACCCGAGTTCAACAAGGTTTTAAACATTTCAATGGTGTTAACAACTACTCTGCAAAGGTGGCACTGTACAACAGAGGATGCCCAGGTTGGGATTCGACAGCATATGCTTATTGTGTTAGACTGTCAAAGAGTCTAAACAAAGGTCCACATTGACTCCTCATTTGAGAAAATCACTCCACTTCGAACTTTTATTTGAAATTTTCTCTATAAATAATATAATAATTTTATTTGTATGTGAAACAGTAAAGTTATCTCAAAAGTTAAAAAGAAGGATAACAAATCATTGAAATCTATTATGTCTTAGGACTTTTGTTAAAACTTTACCATGATAAATTATTTATCTATCTATCTATCTATATTATTATTATAAACAGTAAATATGTTGCCCACTTTTAGGTTGCCAAAGTATTCATAACAAAAGTATGCCATTTTTGTTAGTATCATATCTACTTCCTCCCTCGTTTAAACACAATTACAATAAAGGATAACTACAACCAACGTGCGCTACGCGCGTCACCTGCGTTTTGTAATGAATTAAAATAATTTTTTATTTTGGATTTTTATTAGGTCCACTGTCAATGTTAAATAGAAGTTACACATTCACCGTTGGATGGTTGATATATGGAAAAGTTAAAGTATCCACACTTGGTTACAAGATTTGTATGCGCTTTATATACTTGCGCTCTCTATTTACATATTAATTTAAACTTTTTTACGTTGTACTTTCTCGCATGGTATCAAGATTCTTTATTTACAGGGTTTATATACTCTCTGACATGAAAAATTGCAAATTTGGATAAGTTTGCAAAATCAAGAGAGGAGAAAACCACAGCTTAATCCTGCTCTCTCTTACATGTCCAAGAAAGTTGTGTTGGTGACTTAAATGGCTGAACCCTCTTTGTCTTTTGCCACTTACAATCTCTAACAAAAGCATTCCAAAGCTAAATTTATTAGATCTCACAGAAAACAGTCCACAGAACACATACTCTGGGGACATGTAGCCTCTATATTGATAGTGATCACTTTTAGTCACCTAATGTAATGTTAAGATTTCAACTCATAGTCATTTTACAATATGTATCCGAATCTGTCGATAAACAAAAGTCTGTGAAATCTGTATCTGTAATAAATCATACGGTTGGGAAATCAAAGTGGAACGGTATTGCTTATGCACTAGATGCAATCAGTGAGAAATACAAAATTTAGTACTTGTTGGACATCATTCTTAATCATTCCTTAACTGACTCAGCATATAATCGACTCAGCATAGTGTCTCTGTCTACAGAAACGTTCCAGTTATTGCATCTCTTGTATTTGTACCCTGCAGGGTGCAACTTCTGAAGATGGAGAAGCCAGGCTATGAAGAGTGGAGGGGGGGACAGAGGACACGTCTGGAAAATTCAATAAGACAGTGCCCCTAAAAATGGAAACTTTTACTTTTCGTGGCTTTTCTGTTTTGTGTTTCTCAAGAAGCAAGCACCAAAATGCCATCAGTCATGGAAGGAGCAAGACGCCAGTGTTGACTCAGTCCGATTTGTTGCACATGGCTAGAAAAGCCGTCAGATTGTAACAAGTCTACGTAGAATCAAGCATATGTATGAAGTACAGACACACCATGATCTACTGATCTGAACGGAGCTAATTGACCTTTCCTAGATTGAAATGTTTTGCCGGCATGCAAATTCAACAAGCGCGTGTTCATTGTTCTAGGCCATACTAAAAGCACAAGAAGCCGAGCAGCTTACATAAAAGTCAAGAGCCTCAACTTTTATCAATTAGTACCAACATTTTATTCTAAACACTCTGTTTCTTTGCTATGCAAATTCTCTTAGTAGGAAAAATGTAAAAAAAAGTTCGATCAAATCATCTTTTTTTATTATCTAGTAGTCAACAATAAAAAAAATGTCACATTTTAATTACTTTCACTGTATATCCTTATTCAAGAACGAATTTCCCTTAGGTCGTCATTAGTTATCTTGTGAAATGCATTTTGTTTCTCTTCACACTTACATGAAGTTCTTTCGTGGAACACTTCAAATTGGGACCATTCATTAATATTTATATTTTCCATCGGCATAGTCTCAAGAGGAAGGATCATCCATGCTTCCCCATGAAGTCAGTTATCGTTCAAAAACCGGTTTTCAAGCTCCATACAACTTTCATACCAGCTAAAAGGGTCAGGAAATGTACACGACCAAAGAAGATATTACTCCTAACATGCATATGAAACTTCCTGAGAATATAAATCATACGTTCAACTGTCACTTGCAGAAGGTGAAAAAGGAATATTTTAGCCATTGGTTCGCTCCTCTGTGGTCAATGGTGTTTTAGACTTGCATACATTGGAGTTTATACCAATCGCACAAATCAAGAAGTCTGGACAACGAACGAAATATATAATCAGTGGCATTTCTCGGATATATTTGCGATTCCTCACAAAAACACACTATCGGCCATCCAACATCGTCACGGTGACGGCATTAATAGAATGGAGTTCTTCATGCGTCGGGGCTGTGCTTAGGTCCATTGAACTTCTTTCCATAAAGAAACCAGGCTGTTTAGGTCGAGGCAAGCTTGCACTTTCATTTCCTAACATGGCGACTACAGAGGACATTGCTGGTCTATCATTGGGAAACTTCTGCACGCATAACAAGCCGATATGGATACATCTTTGCACTTGAGGTTCCACCGAATCATCCAAGCACCCATCAACGAGTTCCATGGCTCTGTCTTCACTCCAAAGCAACCAGGCCTGAAAAAAATTGCATCTCGGGCTTAGAATTGAAAAGAGGGAGATAAGGGAGAGAGAACAACATATGCTCAGGATTTTTTCTCTTACATGTCCGAGAAGGTTATGGTGATGATTTGGGTGGCAGAATCCTCTGTTTCTTTTGCCACTTACAATCTCTAACAAAAGCACACCAAAGCTAAAGATATCAGATTTCACAGAGAATTTTCCGTCGAAGGCATACTCAGGGGACATATAGCCACTGTAATGACAAAATGATTGGTATTAGTCTTCTAACATAACTAGCGGTCCTATTTAGAGATTTTCTGGAACGATGAGTTCTTACTAAGTTCCGATGATTCTCTTTGTTTTTGCTTCTTTCTCATCACTTGCAAAAATTCTTGCCAACCCAAAGTCCGAGATTCTAGGGCTTAGGCTGCCATCCAATAAAATGTTGCTAGCTTTGAGATCCCGGTGAATTACACGAAGTTTAGAATCATGGTGTAGATAAAGAAGACCTTTTGCAATCCCAATGATGATGTCAAAACGTTTTTCCCAATCTAACATTAAGCATCTTTCACGATCTGCATATGCAGATAAGTTTAGTTTAGTCAACCAGAGGAATTAAGTTCGATGCGCGGATAGCATCATGATCAAGTAACATCTTTGAATAAAGGGTCTAGAGGCCTTACCAAAGATGAAATAATCCAAACTCTTGTTTTGCATGTACTCATAGACCAAAATCCTTTCCTCCCTCTCCATGCAACAACCTAGAAGCCCCACAAGATTCCAGTGTTGAAGTTTGGCTATCAGAATTGTTTCATTCTTAAACTCTTCAAGACCTTGTCCTGAATTTCTTGACAGTCTCTTCACTGCTACTTCTTGTCCTGTGAAAAGATTTCCCTGCATTTTGTGGTTTTGGGTAGACATGTTAAACAATGAAATATCATCACTCTGTTTGCAGTAACTTTGTCTTGGAATATGCATGGCTCATCACCTTGTAAACTGGGCCAAAGCCACCAGCTCCAATCAGACTATCTTCAGAAAAACCATTTGTAGCATTAACAATGGTAGCCAGATCAAAAAGTGGCAAATCAATATCTTCCTCCTTGATTTTCGAACCTGAAAAAGGCCAGTTACTACAAAAATCTTTGTCGAAACATATGTTAACCTTACAAAAGGGCCTTAAGGTCTCTTTGCATAGTCTGGAGTTGTACATTCATAGAACCAGTTGCTCTGACCTTTTCTCTTTATTCTGCAATTCCAGATTCGACGGCAGTACACCATGGCCAATAGAAACAAAGCAGCAATTGCTGACATCAGTACGGTAATGACCATCCTTTTCTTCTTGGCAGAATTATGAACGAAATCTAGAATAGAAAAGACTGAGAAGATTAATGCAATCTTCTGTGGTGCTGTTCCTGAATAAGCTGTTTAAAAGATAGAATGTCCAGAGCAAAAAGCAATGACTGGTAAAATAAGTACCTAGTTCAGATTTTGGTAGGCGGATGTATAGAGTTTGCCCGTAGTCATCTTGTTCGTACTCCCTAATGTCAATTAGGCTTCCGAACCACAAGAGACAGCCACTACCTCCTCCTCTAACATCTGAATTAGCATAAGCTGTACAAGAACAATTCTTTAAGCACTCGGACGCACATTCCTTAAGGCTCATGTTCTTGTTCAACCAGAACTCCAACAGATCAGGAAGTTTCACTTTTGCAAGTTTGAGGAACCCTTCTTCCTTGGAACAATCTACTGGTATTCTTCTCATGCATCCACCGGAACAAATGAGGAGATCCCATTCTTCTGGAGACTTCGGTACAAACCCCTTTAAGCAATCACATATCGGAGCTCTGTTAGCTCTACAGATACCATTGGCTCCACAAGTACCGTAAGCATCGCATGGATTGTTGGGTGACGAGTACATGATAGTCCAGGCATTGCTTCTTTTACTTGCAACATAGTACTGGAGCAACCCGGAGTGGTTCATTGTAAGTACCCTTGCGATAAATTCGCTTTTTCTGGCTTCATATGCAAAAAAGATCTCATTTTCACCATAGACGAACACTGACGTGGTCACTTCATTCGATCCCACTGAAGCACCACTGAATTGTTTTCCGTTCCACGATCCTGACCGATATTTCTTGCTGGATCCTAAGCTGACGAGTTCGACTTGAGGCAACCCGTGAATGTTCAACCTACAAGTATAGTCTCCAGGGGAAGGATCATCCATGCTTTTCCAAGAAGTCAGACGTCTTTCTAAACCGATTTTCAAGTCCCATCCTAATTTCATACCGGGCAGTAGTGTGTCGGATGGATGATCAAAACTCTGCCATGAATAGACATCAGAATTCAGACCGGTATTCTCTCTGAGAACAAGATTTCCAGTGTCTAAGAGCTGTGCGACCGGATTTTTCAGAACCCTGGACAAATTTGAAGACCAGATGATACCATTCGATTGGTTGACAAGAACCAGATCTCCATCACGGCTAAACGTGAGAACTCCATGTGAATCAGTGAGTGGATTGTCCCTGTTGGCAACCCAAACAACTATTTCTGGAGTGATCTTGTACCATATGCCGACGTACCTGTTCTGGGAGTTGCCAGGAGAGAAGAAGCCGAGCACAAAGCTTTGGCCTGAAGAGACCAATGTCTCTCCATCCTTCATAGACCAGCCTGAACTCAATGTGTCAGCTGCAGTCGATAAGCAGACAATGAAAAGGAAGATGAAAAAGGTAGGTGCTTCCATGCCTAACTAAATCATGCAGAACCACAAAACCGTGTGAGATTTAGAAGAAAAAATGCATGTGCTTTTGCCAAGCAAGCTAAGTTCTAGGAGACGCACAGGAATGGATTGTGATCACCACTGGCAACTTTCTAAGAAGCTGTCTGGATAGAACTTTTCAGTTGACTCGACTGGTCAACTCACATTTCCTGCAAATATGGAATGGGAGAGATCCTTTCTAGGTCACGGGCAGCACATTTCTTACTTTTAGGACACGTCAGTAAAAAGCTTCTTCTTCTTCATTTGGCCTTTTGCTTGATGATGATTAGCTCATACCTGAACACGCATTAATGTTAGAACCATACCACACTATGCATCGTGAATGACTGTAATCGAGTACTTTCACTGTGCGTTTATCAATGTGATCGTGGCATTAGCCACGGGGCATCATATATTGGCTTTGGCTGAGTTGTGATGTGAAATTGTAAGTACCTTAGAATTTAAAATTGAATACAAGCATAGTCGGAGAATATGTCAAATTATGTCTCGAGTTTGAATCCGTGCATGAAACCTGACCCGATTGGAAGACGGAGATCGATTTGTTAACCGAATCGGTTAAAAGGAAGAAATTTCAAGAAATCCACTTTCCTATTTGGATTAGAATTTCTCCACTTATAGTGGACTCTTGCGAAGCTGTTAGGAGAATCCTTTAAACGACGTTAAGGTTTTCTTCAGAAAGTAAGCCGCCGCACGAAAAAGAAAAGAAAGAACGTGCATGACGTTCTTGTTTCAGCCGGTGATTTGTTGTGTGAGTTTTATATTCAATTGAGTTATTTATTTTAAAATACTATGAGTTTTGGCTTAGTCTAGGTATGAAAAACACTCGAACATGTGAGTGATTGTAACTCTGATTCTCCGATTATTAGTGGATTATTTGCTACTTGCTCTTTTCGTGGAGTAGGTATCGACACTTGGATCGAACCGCTTAAATATCTGGTATTCTTTATTATTCCTCGTTTATTTTTTTTAAGAATTTCGCATTGATTTAATTGCAAGATCCAATATTTTCCGCATTAATATTACAATAGAACAGATTGTTATTTGATGTTTGAATAAAACCGGAGTTTTATTTACGGACTTCTCAATTCGTCACATCAAGCTACTAGATAGACTTCAAAGAGATCCCCACCTCGGGCTTTCACTTGTCGATTGAGTCAGAACTGAAAGCCGGCAAAATTGAAAATTTTGGGACAACTTGACCGGTGTCAAAATCCATGGAAACGTGACTAACTTCCCAAAAGTCACCGTGGACCCTTCTGCCGAGCATCATAGCGGTCGTAAGACGATACACACATTTGACCCTTTTGTTGTTTTTTCGCTTGTTTTTGGTCCATCAACTATTTACATTTGACAAATTTAGAGTTGGAACCTCCCATAAGTAATCAATGACAATTGTTCATTGAATTTCAGCTTCTTTTTGACATACATTTGACCCTTTCCTTGTTTTTTTTGTTTGTTTTTGGTACATAAGCTATTTACATTTGACAAATTTAGAGTTGGAACCTCCCACAAGTAATCAATGACAGTCGTTCATTGAATTTCAGCTTTCCACAGCTTCAGTTGGTTGACTACTGTGGGCTTCTAATTGCGAGTATCGCACTGATGAATTTTTTTTCATTTTATTTAGTTTCTCCAAGTACTCTGGCTTAAATGATTTACTTGTTGGTCTGTCGTCCAGACTTTCTGCTTGTCCAGCTGAAATGATTGTAAATTCTCTTTCATAATCATAGATTACAAATTACAGATACATTGGACATGTATAATCCTATTTTTCTAGCGGACATACACAACCAGTTGACATATTTAATGCAAAAACAAACAAAGCAAAAAGAAACTAGCATTAATGGTAAGAAAAACTTGCTTTCACATATATGTAATATATAGACTTTTCGTCCCTATATATTCATGCTTTTATTATTCAAGTCCATATATCTTAATTTGGTCCTATAAAATTTTGTTGTCCCTGTCGAACGATGGCAAAATATGATGGGAAAAAAATGTACAGATACCTAAGTAAACATGTGTGGGAAAGCTTGATTAATGCAAACAATGTTGGGATATGATATGAGAAAAGTACCAAAAAAGTCCTCACTTATTGCACTTGTACCAATTTACTCCTAAACATTTCAATCGTATCAATTGAGTCATAAACCTTTTCACATTTTGCCAATTGAGTCCATCCGGGTAATTTTAGCTGGAAAGGCGCCAATATGGACAATTTTATAAATTTTTATTTTTGGATTTTTTTTATTATTTCTTATTTTTTCCCTTCCATTTCTTTTCTTTCTTTACCCTTTTTCTTTCTTCCCAGCCCGACAAGGGTCACTTGGCCAATCCTCGCCGGTCCCAGCGGCCCTCACTAGCTATGGGCGAAAGTTATACTCCTCACTGGTCGTGAGCGAGGGTCGTGCCTCTCGCTGCGAAGCCCTCATTGGACTTGGTAGAACAAAAAGGAAAAGAAAGAAAGAAAAACATATAAAAATTTGTTCAAGTTGGCGTCGACCGTTCTACGTGATACTACTGGTATCCACGTTAGTGATTTCCAGCTAAAATTGGCCATATGAACTTAATTGGCAAAACGTAAAAAGGTTTAGGATTCAATTGGCACAATTAAAAGGCTTATGACAAAATTGACGCAATTGTAGTAGGTTTATGACTTTTTTTGGTACTTTTATTGATATGATGTAGATAAAAAATAACCGATATGAACATCACTTTGGAAAAATTTGATCCACGTCACACTACAATGTCGTTCGATGGTCACATTAATTGAATCTGGTTGGATTTGGTGTTAGAGGAATATAATTAGAAATTTTGTAAAGTAGAAGGGCTTATATAAATATAGACTTAGATTAGAAAAAAGAAAGTGCAAGTATAAGTACGAAAGGTATTTGTGTTCCTAGTTGTCGTTACCTACATCATACGAGAAATTTGCTTGCCCCCGATAATCTAAACCGTTGAATTGGACGAAACTCACTTTAAGATCCATCATATTCAATGTTCCGGAAGCAAGTTCACACTTATCGAATGCACTTGATCCCCAAGTTAACTTCATGCAATATTCTCACAAAATGCAATCTAAACTGCTCGAGTAGAGAAGAGAGTGGGAGGACTTTTAACGCGGACATCTTAAGTAAGAAAATCTTAGGAAGATTGGTGACGTATCGAAGTAGTGAAATGTGAAACCTTCGTAATCCAGGACCTCTTCCTCGTTTGGTTAATCATCTGAATAACGCAGTCCCCCAAAATAAATCGTCGAATAGATATAGTAATTAGCTGCTGATCAAATGGGCTTCAAGGATGAAATCATCAAAATCTTTACCATTAAAAAAAGGAAGAAAAAGATCATCCAACCTGAAGTTCTTAAACATAGGTCAGATTCGCAAGAAGACTAGGGAGGAGGTTTCAAGATTCTGCAACTGCATTTCATGCAGATTCAAGATTTGATGTAAGGTTCGTAAGTTCATGACTAAAAGGCAAGAATCTCTAGTTTATTTACATGGAGGTGAAATTGGAGCTTCAACTCTTACTTTGTCGTCGTTAAAATTTTACTTTGATGAGGTTTTTCGCTGGTTCAACGTCAATACGCACAGTGCACTGAATATAATTGCCACCAAGGCACCAAATTAGGAGTTACCACCCCTAAGTGAAAATATCTAGGAGAAGCTGTTGCGAGGACGACATTCGGATTCCCCCGATGTTTTGTCCCTAGGGACTTCAAGAAAGACTAGACCAGCAAAAGGCAATGACAGAGCGCGACAACGTCAGGCTTTCCCGAAGAGACATACTTGAGCCTTCAGGTCAGTGAGCGACAATACAGAACTCCCAAGATGACTAACTAGGATTTACCTCTCTCTCTCTCTCTTCCCACTCGCAACTCTCCCGATTCTTCCCTATCTCTCTTTCTTCTTCTCTGTACTGAGATTGATTGTTGTTTGAAATTAAGAATAGTGAGGAAGAATTGAACAGAAGAATAGAGGAAGGAATGTGTAAATAATCTTTCTGTGTTTTGTATTTTTCTGTCGTGTCTTTGTACAATTATAGAGGTTCTATTTATAGACTTTCACAAGAAGACCAATGTCTACACTTAAGGGGGTTTTGAAAGGAAACGTAATTCACTGATTGGGAATTGATGTAGCGATTTGTTGATGCTTGAATTGTGGGGATTTGATTCTGTCAATTTGTTTCTTTCTTTGGTGGAGATTGTGTTGTGGGTTTCCTTCTTTGCTTGATTCTTCCAATCTTCCTTCTTTGGTGTTACCATCATTGGTGGAACCAGAATATTGTTGATTGCTTGATTGTTGCTGATTTCTTGAATTTCGGTGATTGGTTGATTCCCTTAACATCCCCCTGCAACCTAACTGGGTAGAATGGACATTCAGCTTGGTTCGAAGCATCCGAAATCATGCTGATGAGAGTCCTTTTGTGAAAATGTCGGCTGGTTGATCGACAGTTGATATATAATGAACCGAGAGTTGACGGCGTGCCAAGCGTTCCCGGATGAAGTGAAAATCAATCTCTACATGCTTTGTGCGGGCATGGAAAACCGGGTTCGCAGTGAGATAGATAGCCGAGAGATTGTCACACCAGAGTGCAGGCGGGTGTGAAGGTAGTGCCCGAAGGTTGCGAAATAGAAACTCTATCCAAATGAGCTCGGCTGTGGTATCTGCTAGGCTTTTGTGTTCTGCTTCAGTGCTAGAGCGAGCAATTGTTCGTTGTTTGCGCGAACTCCAGGAAATAATGTTGGAACCAAGGAAGATGCAGAAGCCACCAATGGAAGGTCGGTCGTCACAATCACTGGCCCAGCTTGTGTTGGAAAATGCATGGAGAGCAGTGGAGGACGAGTGGCCAAAATGTAGCCCGTGCTGTGGAGTGTCAGCAAGATAACGTACGATCCGTTTCACAGCTTGCCAATGCATGGTGGTGGGAGCATGAAGGAACTGATAGGCGGTATTCACAAAATAAGCTATATCTGGGCATGTGAGTGTGAGGTATTGAAGAGCTCCAACAATGCTATGATAAAGTGCAGGATCAGGCATAGGATCATCGGAGTAAGCAGATAACGGTTCATCGGTGGTGCAAGGAATGGGAGCAACTCTGGCTTCGATCATTTTGGCCCGCTGCAGGATCTCTTGTATGAACTTGGATTGATTGAGTAGAAGGCCGGTGGAGGTGTGCTGAACTTCCATTCCCAAAAAATAATGAAGTGGTCCAAGGTCTTTGATGGCAAATTCACCTTGGAGTGAGTTGAGTAAGGATTGTAGAGGAGCCTGAGGTGACCCTGTGAGGATGATATCGTCTACATAGACAAGCAAAAAAATGCTGTAATGTGGAGTCTGCATAATGAAGAGAGGAGAGTCCACAGTAGATACACAGAACCCGATTTTAAGGGGATATGAACTGA